GCCTTCTACCAAAAGTGTCATAGGACAGTGTGACATGCTTATAGTATTCACATACCAAATATGAACAAAATCGCTCCACTACTTTTCCAGTTATAGTAAAATACGGTAAAATGGCGGCCATTTTGAAAAATGGACGCCTTCTACAAAAAGTGTCTTTAGACAGTGTGCAATGCTTATAGTATTCACACACCAAATATGAACAAAATCGCTCCACTATTTTTAGAGTTACAGCAAAAATCGTAAAATGACGAGTAAAGGCCACCATTTTTCAAGATGGCTGCCATGTGCTTTTTAATATCTACATTTGTATGGCCGGCTTTTACCAAAAGTGTCATAGGACAGTGTAACATGCTTATAGTATTCACATACCAAATATGAACAAAATCGCTCCACTACTTTTCGAGTTATAGTAAAATACGTTAAAATGGCGGCCATTTTGAAAAATGGACGCCTTCTACAAGTCGTTATTTATGTACATGTATTCATTTCCATTGTGCCTACTAGTCAAATAAAATATTAACAACCATAAATATGAGACCCCCAGCGCATATATGGAATGAGAAATAGGTCCCTCAAATCAGCACAAGGGAGTACAAATCTAGTGTAATGGTACTTTAATGACTCCCTCAAAGCGGTTCAAATAGAAAACTTTAATTGCTTGAAGCAAATGAAGCATTCAGTGAATGCTACCATATAAATAATACAACCATCATTTTTAGAATTATTTACTGAAAAATCAATAGCTACATTATGAGTTTGGTACAAAGGGTCTTCAAAGTTTAGGGTAATTTGAGGGTTACTTCAGGGTAAATCATTTACCTTTTACATAGATGAAACTTTATCTATAGGGGCCTGAGTCTGAATAAATTTCAGAATTCAGTTTCAAAAAAGTGAAATCATGGTTGGCTGAAGTGAATTTAAGAATAATTAGCTAAAATAAACAAAATACATAATTTACCATGAGATAAGTATGATTATTTTATTAAGGAAAATGACCAATAAGTCATGCTAAGAGATCCACCAAATCATACCTATTGGGTAGTTGTTCTTTTTTCATTTCTTTCTAGCAAGTAAGCCAAAAATAATTCAGTTGTAATATGAGACATCTAGCTTAACTGCCTTCAAAACAGCTCCTGAGAGATTGACATTATAATATCAAGGTAAATGGCTTGATTGATCATGCTAAGATATCTTTCAAAACAGAACTCTTGGGACGTTGTAATTTTGATTTTCATTTCTTGCTAGCACTAAAGCTAAATATAATTCAATTGTTATATTAGACAGACAGCTTAAATAACAAAAGAGATACACTGCTTTCAAAACAGCTCCTGAGAGATTCACCTTATAATATCAAGGTAAATGGCTTGATTGACAATGTCAAGATGTCTTACAAAACAGAGCTATCGGGTTTTGTCATTTTTATTTTCATTTTCTGCTCACCTTAAGCTAAATATAAATCACTTGTAATATTAGAAATCTAGTTTAGATAATGAAAGGGATACATGGCCCTCAAAACAGCCCCAGAGAGAATCACAATATGTTTTCAAAGAAAATGGCTATAGATTAGCCATGTTAAGGCCTCTCATAAAACAGAACTATCAGGAAGTCGTCATTTCTCTGATTATTTCTTGCCAGCCATAATGCCAAATATAATTCACTGGTAATATTATATATCTAGGTTAAATAACAGAAGAGATTCATGGCCCTTAAAACAGCTCCAGTGAGAATCACACTATTTGTCAAGGTGAATGGCTAGATTGGCCATATTTAAATGTGTTAAAAAGAGAACTATCATGTAATTGTCATTTTAGTTGTAATTTCTGTTTTCATTTCCATTGTGCCAACTAGTCAAATTTTAACTACTTTAAATATTAGACCCCTAGAACATATATTGAAAGAAATACAGGTTCCTCAAAACAGTACAAGGGAGTACAAATCTAGTGTGATAGTATTAGGGATTCCTAACAAGGGGTTCTAGTAGAAAATATTAAATTACCTAAGCAGTCAGTGAATCCCATTTTCTATAAGTAATATTAAATGATAGGTGAAGTTATGGTTGGCTTGTGTGAATCAATGTGAATATTAGGGAAACTTAGGGAAATTATACATGCAGTCAAGGGATAATTAAGGTGCACTTAAGGGCAACATAAGGGTGGACTTAAGGGACAATTAAGGTTCAATTAATGTTTACCAAGGTTCATGTCAAGGGTAGATCATGATAAATTATAATCAGAAATTAGTGTCACATTGATTTCAGCCATATGTTGAATACATGTTTGAGACAAAGTCATGAAGCTTAAAATTAATAACAAAATGCATAATTGCCAATGAAATAAAATACTAGTACAGTAAAACCTGAGTTAGTGAACACATCTCTCTAATGAACACCTATTAACAGTGAATGTTTTTCTTCGGCAAACCTTTTTCTCCCATTGACTCACATGTTAAAGTACAACCCTATAGTGAACACCTACCAACTATGAACAGTGAACACTAAATCTTGGCAAAATCAATTGAATTATCCTGTCTCTAGTGAACATTGAATCAGATATAAGATTTCTCATGGATTTTCTGCAACTGCCTTATCAGAGTTAAGCAGTTTATGTTTTTATTACCTGCCAAAAATAATTAAAAGGTCAATTTGAGATCTTGATCTCTTCTATTGAAACAGGTGTGACTAATTATAATTCTTAATAAGCTTTGTTTTTGTAACACAGGATATGCGTCTGGGATTAATTGCTTCGAGATAATCTGGTTAACTAGTATTACCTCTATCTGCTAAGTCCCAACTTAATCTTTTTCTCATCCCATCAATTTAAAGATAAATTGGATTAAATTATTATTCATGATCATTTCACTATTTACTGCATCTATTATGTCCTTTAACTAATTCAATAAAGTCCTTTAACTGACTCAAATGACTCAAAGATTCCACTATTTAAGGGACCATCTTGATGAGATAAAAAGAATTATAAAGAGATTAAAATTTGACAATAAAAGGATGAACTATTCAGATGACAGTCAGACGAAAATAAGTCAGGATGTGTATAACAGTACAACAAATCAAAAAACTCCTCCTCTCTTTTAATAGCTGGTCTCTTTGTATAATACGGCAAAATGCCGCGAAATCAAATAATTGCTGTAGTGAACATCTACCAACAGTGAACATTTTTTCTTGTCAAAAAATTGTTAACTATACACAGGATTTACTGTAATTACTTTTTAAAGGAAAATGACTCAAAAGCCATGCTTAGAGTCCACCAAAGCATACCCAGATCCCTGGCTCATACCCAGATCCCTGGCTCTCAAAAAGCTAGATTGGCCATGTCATTTCTCTGATTATTTCTTGCCAGCCATGAAGCCAAATATAATTCACTGGTAATATTAGATATCTAGGTTAATTTGACAGAAGAGATCCATGGCCCTTAAAACAGCTCCAGTGAGAATCACACTATTTGTCAATGTGAATGGCTAGATTGGCCAAATTTAAATGTCTTAAAAAACGGAACCATCATGTAATTGTCATTTTGGTTGTAATTTCTGTTTTCATTTCCATTGTAGCAACTAGTCAAATTTTAACTACTTTAAATATTAGACCCCTAGCACATATATTTAAAGAAATACAGGTTCCTCAAAACAGTACAAGGGAGTACAAATCTAATGTGATGGTATTGGGGATTCCAACAAGGGGTTCACGTAGAAAACATTAAATTACCTAAGCAGTCAGTGAATCACATTTTCTATAAGTAATATTAAATGATAGGTGAAGTTATGGTTGGCTTGTGTGAATCAATGTGAATATTAGGGAAACTTAGGGAAATTATACATGCAGTCAAGGGATAATTAAGGTGCACTTAAGGGCAACATAAGGGTGGACTTAAGGGACAATTAAGGTTCAATTAATGTTTATCAAGGTTCATGTCAAGGGTAGATCATGATAAATTATTATCAGAATTAAGGGTCACATTGATTTCAGCCATATATTGAATTCATTTTTTAGACGAAGTCATCCAGCTCAAAATTAACAAAATGCATAATTGCCAATGAAATAAAAATACTAGTAATTACTTTTTTAGGGAAAATAACTCAAAAAGCCACGCTTAGAGTCCACCAAATCATACCTATTAGTAGTTGGCAATGTGCCTTCTAGTCAAATATTATTGAGCTGTAATAATAGACAATAGACATCTAGTCTCACTAATATACCATACACTTGCCTTCCAAAACAGCTCCAGGGAGGATTATAGCATGTTATATAATGTAAAAGGCTAGATTGGCCATGTTGATACATCTTACATATCATAAGTATCAGGTTGTCAATTTTATTTTCATTTCATGTTAGTCTAAAAGCCAAATATTATTTGTTATATTAGACTTCCAGCTCAACTCCTATAAGAGTTTTGTAAGTTAAATAAGTGGTCTTATACAATATATACTTATCGTTTGACTGGTAGACTATAGTTCATTAAGATAAATGATATTTATAGACAAACAAAAAAAAACAGATTACATAAAGTAACCTAGAAAATAGGGTAACTGAGGTTAATTAAGGTAAAATAAGGTTGATTGGGGTTTATTTAGGTATATTAAGATCACACATGTTTAGCCCTTAACTGACCCTTATAATTCCCCAACATCTAGTTATGAGTAAAGTTAGGTTAATTTCCCCAATATTGAGGGTAATTTTGAATTAAGGTTGACATTAAGGTAAGTTAATGCTACATTCGGGTAAACCCAGGGTAATCCCCTAAACTTTTTTCCTAAGGGTTATATTAGACTTTGGCTTATTTAATCATTTACAATAGCCTCATGTGAATGTCACTGGAACTAGACATAAGTTTTTGGATTGGCAAATGATCACTTTTCAAGGTTGTTTAACATTGTTATCTATGGCAGTTTAAAAAAGTGTTCACATTAAGAGGTGCCCAGATCAGTTAAGACAGGTGTTCAGATGTGAAGGTTTAACTGTATATTGTAAAGCAATATGGACACATACTGACCTTCTGATTAAGAAGCAACCAACAGATTCATTACTGTTGTCTATAGCTCTATGTAGCAAAGTCTGTAGACAACCCTCAGGTCCAGTTCCCCACATGTTGGTATCACAGCCATGTCTCACCTGTAAATGGTCATTAAAACAGGGGAATTGATAATGTTCTTCATCATTATAGTAATATTGGCTTATCCAGAGGTGAGAAAAATAGAGACAATGCATTGCCATGCAAAATGTCACCACCTGCCATTTGTTACAGACCCAAACCACCAAACACCAACTGCCAAACATTTCCTACGAAAGTTGGAGACTATTTGAACATAGTGACATAAAAAAACTTGAAAAATGCAACTCAACAAAGTAGTGAATTAGCAGATTAGCAAGTTACAGAAAAATGGTGGAGAAAATGAATAATTAACTTTTAAGCTCCAGTTACTAGATTGAATACTCGACAATTGAACTTTCCCATCATATTTAATTTCATCCTGAAACATTATTGAAAATTCAAGCAGTTGATACATTGTACAGGTATAGTCTATTGAGTTTTGACCACTTCTCAACCAATCAAAATTCAAGATTTCTTAAATGAGAAGCCTGAAGAAAAATGTTCAATTTACAGAGGTGTTCCACTTTAGAGGTGTTCCACTTTACAGGTTTCATTGTATTAATTATAAAACTTTATACCAGAGTTGATGCAACATCTTCCTGTCCCGTTTCAAGTGCTTGCCACAATGGACAGTCTCCATCATCATATGTTACATTCATGTTGGCACCTCGTTGGCAAAGTATGTCTACGACAACAGGCAGGTGGCGTTTTATGGCAAGTTGAAGTGGAGTCTCATTGTCTGATGTCCTGTGAAAATACAGTATTTAAGATTTACAAAGAAATGGCCAGTTCAATGATTCATGCTCCTCTCATTGGTCGTTATCATGACAAGAAACTTTATACTTTATTATATTCCATGAGAAGACAAAACTAACCTCACATTTAAATCTGCAGTGCTATTTTGTTTTACTATTAAAAGTGGCATCATGACAAGAAACATTAATATTAGGGTTCATATTCCATGACCAAGATAGAGCCTACCTAACATTCATATCAGCAGAGTGTTGTAACAAAACAATGCACCAGGTATACCTAGCGAGATTAAGTAGCATCATGACAAGAAACGCTACTTTATTATATTCCATGACAAGACAAAGCTTACCTAACATTCATATCAGCAGAGTGCTGTAACAAAAACAATGCACCTGGTATACCTAGCTAGATTAAGTAGCACCATGACAAGAAACACTATTTATGATATTCCATGACAAGACAAAGCTTACCTAACATTCATATCAGCAGAGTGTTGTAATAAAAACAATGCACTGGGCGTATCTTGTTTTACAATAGCCTGGTGAAGTAACGTCATGCCCTCTGCATTCACATCATTGATATTAGAACCTCCATTCAATAATGTCTCTGCGATGTTCAAATAGCCATTCCAGAGAGCAAGACCAAGTACTGTTTGATCATTTGAGTCCTTTAGATTAAAGTTTGGAATAATGGCCATATTGTCTCCTGTGGAAGTCGCCTTAGCTGAAATCACAATAATCATTCATATTAGTGTGCTACATAAGTGGTTTTAGCTGAAATCACAATAATCGTTCATATTAGTGTGCTACATAAGTGGTTTTAGCTGAAATCACAATAATCATTCATATTAGTGTGCTACATAAGTGGTTTTAGCTGAAATCACAATAATCATTCATATTAGTGTGCTACATAAGTGGTTTTAGCTGAAATCACAATAATCGTTCATATTAGTGTGCTACATAAGTGGCCTTTAGCTGAAATCACAATAATCGTTCATATTAGTGTGCTACATAAGTGGCCTTTAGCTGAAATCACAATAATCGTTCATATTAGTGTGCTACATAAGTGGTTTTAGCTGAAATCACAATAATCATTCATATTAGTGTGCTACATAAGTGGCCTTAGCTGAAATCATAATTATCATTCATATTAGTGTGCTACACTGAACTTATTAGGTAGTTAAGTTACACATTTTGCAGAATTTGTATGTAAATGTCTAGGATAATTATTCACTGGGGATAATTTTTTTTTTCTTGAAGAAAAAATTAGGGATCAATTCTACCTTGGAACTATATGAAGGTGGGATGCTTGTCAAGGATGGTGACATCATATCTAGTGAGAATGTTGAGATCATCGAAGTCAGAATACATGTAATTGTATCTTAAACAGGCAAGTTAGTTCAGGATATCACCAATTTTACCTTTGTAGTCAAGGAATACTTTGACAACCGGCTCATGACGATTCGCTATGGCAACATGTAAAGGAGTCTGCTTAGCAACAATGCCATCTTCTTGATCACCGGGAAAATCTGTAGGAGTGCCACCTATATTTGACCTAGTCTGGGCATTTGGGTTAGCACCTTTACTGAGGAGTATCTCTACTAGGTTAGTGAGGCCTTTCTCACTGGCAACATGAAGTGGAGTCTCACCCTAAAATGAAAATAGATTATTTTCCATATTACAATTATATATTGTATTTAACAATTTTGTACTTGAAGTTATTTGATACAGGGTTTTATCGTATGATCTGTAAAATGAAGCCATCTGATTGGTCAGTTCTTGTGCTGTACCAATTTGTATTGCTACTGGGGTTGTCCCCGTTGATCAGCTCCGTCGCAATACAGAAAATTGGTACGGAGGGGACAATCTCAGTAGCAATACAGAGGATCACACGATAAAAACGTTATTGAATGATTTGAAGTGCAATACAGGATATATTGTCTCGATATTCTGTATTGGCACTCGACTTCGTCTCGTTCCAATACAAAATTTCTCGAACAGAATATATCCTGTATTGCACTTCAAATCATTCAATAACTTATATTATCCTAAGGGGAATATGTGTATCTCCAAAAGGATGAACCACTTTACAATGTACCGGTATATGATATTTTTCAAAAGATGAACCCTGTATCTAAAACTGACCATATTAACAGATACTATAAAGTTGTATTTAATCTGAGTGCTTAATTTGCAGATTAGTAAAATTTTATCCATTTCCTAATTATAATTCTCCAAATGACAATAAACTTCCCATTTGATAACATTATGAAGAATTTTTCCACCATTTAATTTACCGAACCTGGCAAACATTAGGAAATAGCCAAATTAAATGATTAGGCAAAATTACCACTTATACAGTACATCCCATACATACCTTGTTATTGGCATGTGTTACATCAGCACCATGTGTTGCTAGGAAGATACCGGCAGCCTCATTTCCAGATCTTGCAGCTCTGTGAAGCAATGCATCACCTAGGAGATGATCACAGAAAAATCCTTCTTGAATGGATTACAAAATGTCATTGAGTTTACATGTACGCTTTTAAAGTTCATTTTTTTGTAATGATTAGCTGATAAGTCCGTTGGTTGATTTAACCCGCTTATTGCATGGTGTGTCAAATAATTTGTTATTTCTATATGATTCCTCGTGTCAACTTCCAAAAAACTATCTAGAGATGTATTCTTTGAATATTGTAAAACCTGTGTATATTGAACATTTTTTTGCCAAGAAAAAACACTCAGTGTTGATAGGTGTTCACTTCAGAAAAGGTAATGTATAATACAGAAATCAGGAGAGTATGTGCGGATGAAGGGTGTCCACAAAAGACAAGTGTTCACTAGATACAGATGTTCACTAAAGAGAGGTGTTCACTAAGACAGGTTCAAACGTCATAAAATGTCATATTGCCATATTTTGTAAGGAAGCTTGCTTAAATACAATTTACCCATGATTCCTCACAAATCTGTTTGGAGCCCTCAAACTACATGTAAGTCATATTAACATAGAAGAAGCATGCTGAAACTACAATTTACCTGTACTTTTTTATTATCCATTTTCTTCTTATTTTCAATTTTTTCAATTTACCTGTACTTATGTTGACTGCATTTGTTGAACTTCCCCTCTTTACAAGTTTGGCAGCCAAGCAGTCTGGACCATAGTTTGTCTGCTGTCCTTCTGCCTGTTAACATATAAGCATATGAAATATAAAGTGATTGATTTTATTTTACATATATTTAACATTTGAACACCTCAAAACCATAAACGTAAGAACACCTCCAAATGTGTACATGTTAGGTCCTGTTTTGATAAATATATATTCCATCATGTTAATTGCTATCAATAGATATGGGATATCCTTTGATGTATAATTTATACTTGTATAATTTTATACATTAATTAATATCTGTTATATGTACTTTTGTTCCTATTCTTAGATTGTCGATACAAACAGTATATATACGAGGGGCGATTAATAAGTAATAGAAGCTTTTTACACACTTTTCATAGACCAATCTCTTTGATTTTGCACAAATAATACATGACACAAGCAGTCCAAATTATTATGAACTAAGAACAAATGCCCCACTGACTGCAGAATAAAGACAAAGAATGAACAAAGCATTAACATGCACAATATCACAACCTACCATTTGTTATAAATGCCGAATTACAACTGCCTAACACCATCCACAAAAAAGTTGTGGAATTAACATGAAAAGTTCTTTATTTATTAGTAACTGACCTGTAAGGCTAACCATAATACTGTTTGGCTTTCTTGGTTTTGTAGCTCAAGGTTTAATGATGCATGGTTCAGTAAAGTCTCAAATACTTCTTTGTTCTTTGACTGCACGGCTTGGTGTATGGGTGTGCTGAAATGGAATAAGATATATTGAAAGTGCATGTAGCTTTGTTTATATACTTGTTTCTCTTGGTTTTGTAGCTCAAGGTTCAAGGAAGTATGGTTCAATAAAGTCTCAAATACTTCTTTGTTCTTTGACTGCACGGCTTGGTTTATGGGTGTGCTGAAATGGAATAAGATATATTGAAAGTAACTTTATTGATATAGGTTCTTGTTTCTGATTGGCCAATGAGCTGTCAATAATTTTTACTAATGACCTTGTAATGCTTCCATGTCCAGTGATCTCCCAAGCATTAAAGCAGAAGCTCAGCACCCACCTGAGATTTTAAAATCAGGCTTGCACCCACCTGTATTTCTATTTGCACTCACTTGAAAATGAGAAAAATCATTTTGATTAATTTTGGTCTGAATTGTGGAAATAAGAATTTTGCACCCACTTGGGAAAAAATCCTATGGAGAATACTGCATGTCAATGAAAAAAGAAGAATAAAAACCTGTCACTTGCACTTTCAATAGATTGTCAACAACCTTCTTTTCAGTAAACGGTATGGCAAGGAGCACAAACAAAGTGTCTATATTTTACAGAATTAATTGACTTTGAGAATCAGAGCAGTATTTTTCATAAATTGGGTATGTAAAATATCCAAAGCATGAAATCAACTTACTTTCCATCTTTATCCTGTTTGTTCAAATCAACAGAATTTTCTAACAGCATTTTTGTAACATTAGCCATTCCTCTAATGACCTCTGTGGACGCTATCTCTGGGTCAAATGCCGCACAAAGATGCAGGGCTGTCTGAAGCGCCATCTGGGTGGCAGCATTAACATCAGCACCATTCTTTATCAGGAATGTTGCGGAACTTTCATCTCCTGTAAGATATAAATCAATTCATTGTATTCCTGAGTAAATCAACTCTCTGGTGATGCATTAATTAACTCAAGTCAAAAATAAATTAAATTAGACTCTTAAGTCAATGAACTTGAATTCATTTGTCCATTTTATTATATAATTGAAGTCATCAAACAAACATAAAAGTGAATAATGTTATGTTATATATATATTTTTTTTACTGTAGTTATTACAAGAAAAACAACAAAGAAGCTCAATGTAATTCTCAAACAAGAAAAAAATGCAAGATTCCTATTACTGATGAAAATATATTTAATATGATAAAAATACTCAATGTATTGGCAAATGGCTTAAAAACACTTTACTCTACTGTCCCTTGCATTTGGTGTTCATGAGCAACCCATTTGGCTTATTAGTAATAATTATGTTATTTGTTTTTATTCATCTGTTCCTTATGAATGGTTTATCGGTTGAATGTTAGATGTCACTAAGGCACTTTCAAAAATATACTAAACAATACAATTGGACAAACAAAGTATCTTATGCATTTCTAGGTGTTAGGTAAAGTAGAGTGACTTGTCGCTTTAGCATTACAATTAGTGAATAACAAATGTCAATAGACTAATTGTAACAATGTAACCCTAACAATAAATTGCAAATGATTACCTCGTGTTATAGCCTTGTGTATGAGAGCATTTCCCTCTCTATCCACTGCACTGGTATTCACTCTATGCCTTACCTCGTGTTATAGCCTTGTGTATGAGAGCATTTCCCTCTCTATCCGCTGCACTGGTATTCACTCTATGCCTTACCTCGTGTTATAGCCTTGTGTATGAGAGCATTTCCCTCTCTATCCACTGCACTGGTATTAACTCTATGCCTTACCTCGTGTTATAGCCTTGTGTATGAGAGCATTTCCCTTTCTATCCACTACACTGGTATTCACTCTATGCCTTACCTCGTGTTATAGCCTTGTGTATGAAAGCATTTCCCTCTCTATCCACTGCACTGGTATTCACTCTATGCCTTACCTCGTGTTATAGCCTTGTGTATGAGAGCATTTCCCTCTCTATCCACTGCACTGGTATTCACTCTATGCCTTACCTCGTGTTATAGCCTTGTGTATGAGAGCATTTCCCTCTCTATCCACTGCACTGGTATTCACTCTATGCCTTACCTCGTGTTATAGCCTTGTGTATGAAAGCATTTCCCTCTCTATCCACTGCACTGGTATTCACTCTATGCCTTACCTCGTGTTATAGCCTTGTGTATGAGAGCATTTCCCTCTCTATCCACTGCAGTGGTATTCACTCTATGCCGTACCTCGTGTTATAGCCTCGTGTATGAGAGCATTTCCCTCTCTATCCACTGCACTGGTATTCACTCTATGCCTTACCTCGTGTTATAGCCTTGTGTATGAGAGCATTTCCCTCTCTATCCACTGCAGTGGTATTCACTCTATGCCTTACCTCGTGTTATAGCCTTGTGTATAAGAGCATTTCCTTCTCTATCCACTGCACTGGTATTCACTCTATGCCTTACTTCGTGTTATAGCCCTGTGTATGAGAGCATTTCCCTCTCTATCCACTGCACTGGTATTCACTCTATGCCTTACCTCGTGTTATAGCCTTGTGTATGAGAGCATTTCCCTCTCTATCCACTGCACTGGTATTAACTCTATGCCTTACCTCGTGTTATAGCCTTGTGTATGAGAGCATTTCCCTCTCTATCCACTACACTGGTATTCACTCAATGCCTTACTTCGTGTTATAGCCTTGTGTATGAGAGCATTTCCCTCTCTATCCACTGCACTGGTATTCACTCTATGCCTTACCTTGTGTTATAGCCTTGTGTATGAGAGCATTTCCCTCTCTATCCACTGCACTGGTATTCACTCTATGCCTTACCTCGTGTTATAGCCTTGTGTATGAAAGCATTTCCCTCTCTATCCACTGCACTGGTATTCACTCTATGCCTTACCTCGTGTTATAGCCTTGTGTATGAGAGCATTTCCCTCTCTATCCACTGCAGTGGTATTCACTCTATGCCGTACCTCGTGTTATAGCCTCGTGTATGAGAGCATTTCCCTCTCTATCCACTGCACTGGTATTCACTCTATGCCTTACCTCGTGTTATAGCCTTGTGTATGAGAGCATTTCCCTCTCTATCCACTGCAGTGGTATTCACTCTATGCCTTACCTCGTGTTATAGCCTTGTGTATAAGAGCATTTCCTTCTCTATCCACTGCACTGGTATTCACTCTATGCCTTACTTCGTGTTATAGCCCTGTGTATGAGAGCATTTCCCTCTCTATCCACTGCACTGGTATTCACTCTATGCCTTACCTCGTGTTATAGCCTTGTGTATGAGAGCATTTCCCTCTCTATCCACTGCACTGGTATTAACTCTATGCCTTACCTCGTGTTATAGCCTTGTGTTTGAGAGCATTTCCCTCTCTATCCACTACACTGGTATTCACTCAATGCCTTACTTCGTGTTATAGCCTTGTGTATGAGAGCATTTCCCTCTCTATCCACTGCACTGGTATTCACTCTATGCCTTACCTTGTGTTATAGCCTTGTGTATGAGAGCATTTCCTTCTCTATCCACTGCACTGGTATTTACTCTATGCCTTACCTCGTGTTATAGCCCTGTGTATGAGAGCATTTCCCTCTCTATCCACTGCACTGGTATTCACTCAATGCCTTACCTCGTGTTATAGCCCTGTGTATGAGAGCATTCCCCTCTCTATCCACTGCACTGGTATTCACTCTATGCCTTACCTCGTTTTATAGCCTTGTGTATGAGAGCATTTCCCTCTCTATCCACTACACTGGTATTCACTCTATGCCTTACCTCGTGTTATAGCCTTGTGTATGAGAGCATTTCCCTCTCTATCCACTACACTGGTATTCACTCTATGCCTTACCTCGTGTTATAGCCTTGTGTATGAGAGCATTTCCTTCTCTATCCACTGCACTGGTATTCACTCTATGCCTCACTAGAGTGTCAGCTATGCTTTCGAGTTGATCTACCAGAGCAAGGTCTAATGGGAGATCTCCTTTATCATCAATCTCATTCAGTTTACCAGGCAACTGGAAATATGAAATACATGTACCATAGTCGGTGTATTTATAACCAAACCCCTTATAAGTGCCCACCCAGTTCACAAAGTTCAAGAAATATGGAGAAATGACCAATTATTGACTAACATATAAGAAAAATATCAAAGTCCTAAAGAAATCAAGTGGGCGATAATAGAGTACATTATATATGTAATTTAATAAATCCACCCTATATAAAGGGAGTGGCAATAGATATAGTAAAATATCAGAAAAGGTGACAAAAATAACAAATAAAGTCCCACTTGAATCAAATAAGATTTAAGGTAAAACCACTATGAATCCATTGCAAATGCAAATTACAGTAATGACACATACTGTACACCTTGTAGTATATAAATAGTATTCCGACTCATTCAATTTACCCATTATCTTGATTCAAGACCCTTGACCACCCCCTATCAACTGTTGTTGAAGATAGGGGGATACAGGGTCTTGAAGCAAAACTTATTTATCCACAACATTTATTGTATAACTTGGACAACTTTTAAACATACCTGTGAGTCAAACTCTATCAAGTATAGAAACAAGACGTCCTCTCTGTGTGCTCTTATGGTGGTATGTAGGGGATAACTGGATTTAGCCTTAAACATGGAATACAGCAATGGGGCTGGCATTGAAACGAAGTCAGTAGCATTGAAATCACTCTGAAAATAAATAAAATTTCCACTTTCAAACATTTTCAATCAAATCACTAGTAATGTGGAGCCTTGGGAATGAACAGTTATACTACTAAGATTAGAAAAATAATATTACACAAATGAATACATGTAATGTAAATCATTCTAATCCTAAACATCCGTAACAGCTATAGAGCATTGAGTGCAATAAGAACTAATTTTGACAATTGCTACTGAGTCCTTGAGCAAGTCTAGTATCTAGTACCTCAGTTCATTCATTTAATACAACCTACAAACTGATGCATCACTTACCCAATGGTTGGAGATTAGCTCTGAACAATGTTTCTTTAAAGTCTCAGCTCCTATTTCTTCTGCCGTTTGGTAATATTGGATACAGTTCTTCACATTCACTGATGAGATCAATGCCTTCTCACATCTAAATGAAATATACAAGATCTGTTAATGCATATTTCACCAAATAAACATTTGTCTTAAGGTGAGTTAGGTGTGCGTTTGGTGTCAGTCAGATGTAGATTAGCTGCATATTGAGTGCAAGTGAGGTCAGGGTTCGGGGCATGTCAGTCAGTTTTTGCCAGGTTGGTTCAAGTTTAATTTCAGTTGAATTTTTCATATATGTGAATTAAAAGGTTTTGTGCTACATTTTGCTATATAAATAAGCAAGAATAAAGAAACATCTGAAATCACATCCAGCCAAAAGAAAAAAATATTCCAAACTTTGATCTAACTCAATATGTTACACCCCCTCTACACAATTCAGTAATCATTATGAGGACCCATATTCACAAAACCACAATGTGACATTTCACTCAAAGAGCAGCAATTCCGTGGTTACAGCCAGAGTGTAGACAGGGGGGGTTTGCGGATGAGTCAACCCATCCTTGGCCAAAAATCATTTTAAAATCATGTAGTTTTTCACCATTCTGAGCACTCTGCTAGTGATTTTGGGCCAAAATGGTCAAATTAACCCTCCCCCTTGGCACAAGCTGGCTACCTGCCTAATAGCTATAAACTAGAGCTCATACCTTTCTCTTAGCTCTCCAAGTTTGAATTTACTGGCAGTCTTCAGTAATGCAAGAAGGAACTTGTCATCAGATTTAATATCAATAGTATCTGTGTAGACCCACTTCAGTAATGCATGGCCTACATCATATGGGATGTCTGAAATGAAACAAGGCATTAATATGCACAACGTCACCACATGTCATTTGTTACAAATGCTAGAACACCTACCACTGATCACAATCCACAGATGGAGACAATTAACAATATGTCACCACTTCTAGTGGTGACATAAAAATGGCACCATTTGGTGGACACAAATGGTGATAACAACCTGTTTCTCAAAAGTTATGCAAAAGTAGGAGCTAGGTGAAAATTACCTGCATAAACCCTTTCAAATAAAATGGACATCAGGGTATCAGTTCAGATGGATGTCAGTTTTCATTTGTCACATTCTGTGGGCTCATGCCTAATATATATGATGAAGAATCTAATATCATGTTATTTCTCTAATTGGAGGCAATATCAGGAGACAAAATACCAGCACGGCTATTTGTCTGAAAATTTTCGACAGACAGAAAGTTGAAATTTCAAACAACATGAACTGGTATGTAAAATATGTGATAAAATATGTTACAGAAGATGAACAATGATTTAAACTGTCTAGAAATTCTTGTTAATTTACCCTTTTACTAATCTAGATAACTGAACACACTCTCTGTTCTTTGTCATTATATTTGACTATACCTCCATTCTAAATTTCACATTACCTGTAAAGTCTAGTTGTGAAGTTGTTGCCAGGTCAGCCACACCCCAGAAGTCACTTCTGGCTGCCAGAACAAACCTATGCGCCTTAATGTACTGGCCATCTATCTGCACACTTAGGTCACTGAAAGAAATATGCACATCTTTAAGTACTATCAATGTATCTACACACTATACTCTAAACCTATGCGCCTTAATGTACTGGCCATCTATCTGCACACTTAGGTCACTGAAAGAAATATGCACAACTTTAAGTACTATCAATGTATCTACACACTATACTCTAAACCTATGAGCCTTAATGTACTGGCCATCTATCTGCACACTTAGGTCACTGAAAGAAATATGCACAACTTTAAGTACTATCAATGTATCTACACACTATACTCTAAACCTATGAGCCTTAATGTACTGGCCATCTATCTGCACACTTAGGTCACTGAAAGAAATATGCACAACTTTAAGTACTATCAATGTATCTACACACTATACTCTAAACCTATGAGCCTTAATGTACTGGCCATCTATCTGCACACTTAGGTCACTGAAAGAAATATGCACAACTTTAAGTACTATCAATGTATCTACACACTATACTCTAAACCTATGAGCCTTAATGTACTGGCCATCTATCTGCACACTTAGGTCACTGAAAGAAATATGCACAACTTTAAGTACTATCAATGTATCTACACACTATACTCTAAACCTATGAGCCTTAATGTACTGGCCATCTATCTGCACACTTAGGTCACTGAAAGAACTATGCACATCTTTAAGTACTATCAATGTATCTACACACTATACTCTAAACCTATGAGCCTTAATGTACTGGCCATCTATCTGCACACTTAGGTCACTGAAAGAACTATGCACATCTTTAAGAACTATCAATGTATCTACACAGTAAGATTTCTGAAAGGAACATCACACATCTTGATGCATTGCCCACATATAATACACTAAAGTCACTGAAAGAAAGAATGTTACATGCTCATCTTGTACTATCCATTTTATCCATGGGCACAAGAATATTTCTGAAAGGAAAATTACACATCTTGTACACTTACACAATTAGTGCAGAGGGGACATTCAACGATCATGGACCAGTGTCAAAATATATTCAAGTTTGGATATTTCATCAAGACTAACATATATTTTAATTATCTACAATGAAACCTCCTGGATGAACATTATTTCAGCTAATATTCCTCTTGAAATGCGGTGGATCTTAAAAATCTAAAGTGGGACTCCCTTTATAGAAGCCTTGAACTGAATTTACAATCTTAATGCTGAAATTGATTGTTTATCCATACATTTTAAGAAAATAGGTATGTCAATGAAGATGTTCAGCCAATTTTTGCAATGATAGCTCAGAAAAAGTAAGAAAATTTGAATTTTCTCTCTATAGACTTTGTTGCCCCTTTATTTATCTTATTGTGTTATCTATTTCAAAAAGTGCAAGTGATACTTTGTAATTAACTTCTTTTTAGATCTAAGAATTGTTACATTTTTAAATTTTAGAGATATTTCAATTTGAGGTTGCTCTTACCTGTATAAATCTTTATCAAACAAATCGGCCACTGTTTGTAGTAATCGAGAAACAAAATTTTCCGATTCAACTGTCCCAGATGCTGCCAATGCCACCTGGTGGCGCTTTTCTAAATCAGCATAACGATTCTGTAACTTCACATATTCTTCTCGAAGTAGTGCTAAATGACTTTGAAGTTTCCCGACTTCAGCTGATGCTGTAATTATTGAACAAAAATATTTGAACTACAAGTACATCCTGTATCACTGATAGATACTGATTCAACCTGGATTTATACCGAACTCCAATGCAGTGTCTCGGTATAGACACTGCGGCGGGCAGATGAAGCAAATCCCCAAAATTTGGGGAAAATAGTTCACCTTTTCATCGCATATGTGGTCAATTTTCACACAACTTATAAAATATGTATTCATGAATGTTCCCCAAACATTAATTTGTCAAAATATTTCAAAATTATTGAAATATGAGAAGAAATCACCGCGGAAGGAATTCTGAGTAAAAGTTTTGTTTATAATAGTTTACAGCACGTGTTGTTTATTAGTTAATACGCACAATTCAACCAATGAAATTGTCTAAATTTTACAATCACGCAACCTGAGCATGGGACTAGAACCAATCACGTCAGTTGTTAATTACGAAGTTACCATGCTTACGGTGAGATACCTGCCCGCCGCAGTGATATATCACTGCACGGGAGTTCGGATTTATACATGTTTAGGTGTACACTGTACACCCTGTATCACTGATATATTCTGATACAAGCTGGATTTATAAGTGTACACTGTACACCCTGTATCACTGATATATTCTGATACAAGCTGGATTTATAGGTGTACACTGTACACCCTGTATCACTAATACATGTATATTACTTTTGTTCTCTATGTCATACATCATTATCATCCTTCCGTGCAAGTATTAGAGCGCTGAAGTACTTCCTTTTCGATCAAGACTTGTAATTGTTAGTCGAGTGAATGTTTTTTTTGTTGTGAAAGTATTTCAGTGCTCCAATACTTACAGATTGATGATACTGATGTTATACACTGTTAGAGACCAAAAGTAAGCTGCGGATCTCATTATTCATGTTTTAAAAGTCACTATTATTCAGCTGTCCAAGTGCGCCGTGGGAAAGCTATTATATCAAAATCCACATAGCTTTCGCAGGAAGTAAGATATACAGGGGGCCTATACAGTATGGCAATATTATTACAATAACAACTTTGGGGAAAAGAGGTCAACTCTGCAAATATATTATCTAAATCTAAGCTTCTAGTAATATGTCCACATGAATGCCAATCTACGCTAAAAATGTATATATCGTTCCTGACTTCAGGTGGGCGGGGCGGCTTTTGCATCCTCATCAAAAAATTTCAAATCACAATTATTCAATGAAAATAAACAATTGTGACAAACTAAAGCATCCCTACATTGGAAATTTGATGAGTGAAATACAGTTTCGAATACACGTCTAAAATTTGAAATATTTGTCCAGGGATTAAAGTATAACAAGGAAAAACATAAATATTTGGGGAAAAATAAAAAATCTTACCGTCCATATTGGTCACATGACTTGAACACATTCCGAAAATTAACTTAATTCATGACGAATTCATAACGATGTGCTATACAGGTATCATATTTACTTTGTCCTTACAAAGATATTACAGGATATTCCGATGAAAATAGAGTTTCACTAATTTAGATGATCAGTAAACAATAATTTGGAATGTGTCTGATACGTGGGCATAGACCAATTTGTGGACTTGACAGGCCATGGCAAGAGGAGGGAAAGCCCCAGAGTTTCAAGATGACAGACATAATTACCTCTCTTGCTTACCACCTTCGTTCGTTCGAATTTTCATCGGCTAGTTATCAAATACTACACTTCGATGGGATGTTATAATTGATATAGGCATATTCCGTACACCTTTCTTTATCTTGATGTGAAATGAGAAGCTATGATATTGGTTAACACGCCAGGAATGAACATAATATTATTCCAAGCGTATTTCGAAAATTTTGGAACCGCCATTGATGACGTCATTTGTTTGTCGACTTTTGACCAATCAGCGACCGTGTCATCTCAATACAGATCTACATTATAAGCGTATGTCATCTTTGAACCCTGGTGTTTCTCCCCCTCTGGGCCATGGCAAGGAGGATTGGCTCCCAGAGTGCACCACCGATATTCTGTCCCATATATGGGTATGTCGTAATACAAAATTCGAATTCAAACAGCCGCCATTTTGTTCACTTCAACATTTAAATCGTGAATTTTGGTCTTATTTCCAAACGAAAAATTCCAAAACTCACAAGAAACGATCGAGATATTGGTTCGAATCTTTTGAACTGTTTATTTTGAATTTATAGTCGGTTTTAATTTCAGAAAATAACGACATTTCGACGTTTTCATTGTTGGAAAATATCGAGTTTCGATCCTGGGAGCCAATCCTCCTTGGGGCCATGGCATTGATATATGCCTCTGGACGAAACGATGTAAGTAATTCCTGATTAATTTCCCGGGGTTTCACCTGCTCCAGTTTAAAAAGGACGATATTATTTTCAGCCTCTAGTCTACTTATATTTAGGTAAAATAACCCTCCGATAGAGTCATACATCATTTTGACCCTTCTGTAATGTTGCTGTACCTCGTGACATACATGTAAGCTTACAGTTGCCAAATTAATTGAAAGTGATTAAGGTTTCTTGAGAGTGATGTACATGTAAATTATAATTCGTATATTTTCTGTTTCAATTTTGAAAACGTGATCTAATTACTTCTGACCCTAGTGAACCTTGTTCTTTTGACTTTTATCCTGTTGATAATCAAAATACAAAGGATTCTCTTGTTGGATTGATATTAGCTCATTTCACCATCAAAATAAAGCGGTGACATTTGAATATTTTAAGTACGATTTTACGTAGATTCGAGCGAAAAACTAAATGAGCACTTTTAGATGCTTTAAATTTCAATTGCTAGATTCTTGAACATTCACTTAAAAGTTTTAGATCATTTTATATTTAGCCTGTTTGACCGATACAGGGGTGAAATACATGTAAAGAGTATAAGAAAGTGTCACCTGTATACTCAACAACATCAGATGTTTGATTACCGATCCCTGAGGCACACCAGCATTTATAAAGTGGTCAGCAGACATTTTTAATGTGTGTGATAATTTGATGTGGCATACTTTTGGATTTTCTAAATGAGGAATACGATCGGCTAATTTACCTTGATTCCTTCTTGTGAATGAGTGATACAGTGTCAAAGGCACTGTATTGGTTCTGTCCAAATACACAGAACCAACACATTTCCCAATTTACATTTCACTAAAGATATCGTGAATTATTGCCAAAAGTTACAGCTTAGTGTTTTTTGACTCACACAGTGAGCCTATGGGATCGACCAGGCGTCCGTCCGTTGGTCCATCCATTGGTCCGTCCGTCCGTCCGTCCATCAACATTGGCAGCACAAATACAAAACTGCTATTCGGATTGAGTCATATCCACATTCATTTTATGCATATCCATAATGCCTATTTGACCTATCATCGCCATTTCCCAAGTTCGCCCGGTTTCCGAGAAATTGCAGATTTTGACATCAAAAAGTCAAATTTTCTGTAAATACTAGACACTTTGTTAAAGTAGAACTTTCAAATAACTTCTAGTAGTTGCTGTATATGCAACTTATGTCCTCTGAAGATTTCAAAGCTCTCTTGGAATTACAGTTTTTGGTGTTTACTCAATAAAATTTGACAAAAAGTAGGCCCTGACTTACGTCATTTTCAGGAAACTCTCTCATGTATAAAGTCAATAGCAGGTTTTGTGATTGACAAGTTTCTCAAAGTTTGCCTTATACTTGATCATTTCTTGCAATGAATTACATCATTACTAGATTTAAGTATTCCCTACAATTTATGCTCAATATACATCAGCATCAAATTTTTACCGTTTTTGAGATATTTGAAAAAACAGTAAAAATAAGTTATTTTTCAACTTGCTTCAATTTGACCAATTTTTTTTTGAAAATCATCTACAAGTTGCCAGGAGTTCAAATCTGACATTAGTTTTAGGATTTGACCTTTACTTGACCTTCAGTGACCTTCGAAAGGTCAAAAAGTTGATTTTTCAAATTGATTTTTGGATGTAAATTTTGGTCAGCTTAATCACAAAAGACCTTATTGAGCTCTGAATTAGTAAAATTTTCAAGTTCAAAGGTCATCAAACTAGGTCACACAACTGTGCTATCTAAGTTTCTCAAAGTTCGAGACTACAAATCCAAATCAATATTTTTGTTTTAAAGTCAGGATATACATTCCTCTGAAGGTTCCAAACTGTGTGAGCACAGGACCGTGGGTCCTTCATTCCCAGAAGAAATCCTCATTGAAATTGATAAAGAAGGTTAAAATTCTTATTATTTACGAATTTTCATTTTGGTGTTTCATGCGCTCATGAAATAGTTGGTGCTAGATATGTATCTACTACGTGCTTCAATACATATCCCTAAGTGAACTACAAAATACAATTTATCTGGCAGATTTTTTTCCTGATTTTTTTTGTATTGTTTGTTAACATATACAAATAATATGCAAGATAGTATGGGCATATCACACCAGGGATATCACATAAGCTTCACACAATGTATGGCACACGCGTGTCAATTATAGCAGCCGTGCTTTATACAACGAATCACGTCAGTTGCAGTTTCAACACCAGAAAAATACGCCCCGTGTGTATAACCATAATAACGGGCACTTGTGTGCTCCCCAGCAAAATGCAAATTTCTAATCGGTGACCTCATATTATCATGGTCAGCTGGGCTAAATCCTATTGGCCAGCTACTATATGCACCCATTGTCGTAGGATTGTCTGTCCAGCTACTTATCAATACTGAGTCTGGGTCTGGAATACCAGCACCATACATCGACCGGAGAACATCCATGTTTTCAACCACGATTTCTGCCTCTGTAAGGCAAGCTATACGCCTTGCTTCATTTCCAGCAAGGGTGGATATAATAATGTTCGAACCTGAAACATTAAACGGGGAAACATTAACTATGTCAAAGACACCAAGCTTCATCCCCAGCTTCAACGCATAGATTCATCCCCAATAAGGGTGTTCGAACCCGAAACATTAAATGGGGAAACATTAAATGTGTTGAAGAATGTGCAACGTTTTTTAACCACGGCGTCGTATTTATTGAAGTTGATATTTATTATTTGTCAAATATAAAATACTTAAATACTAAAAATACTAGAATGTCTTCAAATTTGCTTTTACGGTATCATGCTTTGATAAAAAGGTAAATGATGTAGGATTTTTTTATTTTCCTAGTAAACCAAGAAATCAATGGAAAGTGTTGATCTCTAAAGGGCATTCATTGATGTAGCAAATAATATTTTAGAAATTGAAGAAGTGCATCGCACACAAGGTTCCGGTATGATTCAAAACGTTACCTGGATATACTTTGGGATGGTTATAGTTTTCCCAGATGACGTAATACCCTGGCCTTTTCGGCGTGTGGAGTATGATCTCGTTTTCATCCCAAAACGCATAAGGAAATTTAAGAACAGTCCTCGTATAGGGAGACATTTGAAAAGAATTAATGGCTTCCTTCTTTTCAAATGATAGGGGTGGCTCAAACGTAATCAGGTCGTTTTGCAGAACACCAATACTGAATGTCATTATCACAGGCTGGTATCGAAATATTTGTCCGCTGTGACGGAGCATGCTATTTTTCATTAAAACACTAAGAATACTTCACGATTTATTTTTTTACTCCTATGTTTCGTTATACCATACAAAATTACTTACTCAATGCAATGGATATATCATTTGCGGGTAACTTTCACTTCTGTTTGAAATCCAATTACGCTGGGAAGAAAAGCTATTGAAAATGGCGCCGGAGTATCATACTTCAAAATGTACCATTTCTTGTTTAACTTTCTAATGGCACGATATAGTGACACGATAATATTTACACATGGTTTCAGCATAATTATGAAGGTATAAATGAGATGTTGATGTATTTGGTCTTTTTAATTCTTTTATAAAAAATAATGTTTCATTTTTTTGTCCGCTGTGACGGAGCAGTTGCAAATGTGAACTGTGAAAATGCTCCGTCACAGCGGACAAAAAATATTAATATAATTTTTTATAAAAAAATTAAAAAGATCCAATGCATTAATATCTCATTAATACATTCAGAGTTATGCTGAAAACATTTGTTAATATTATCGTGTCACTATATCATGCCATTAAAAAGTTAAAAAAGAAATGGTACATTTTAGAATTTGATACTCTGGCGCCGTTTTCAATAGATTTTACTCCAAGCGTTATTGGACTTCAAACAGAAGTGAAGGTTACACGCAAATGATATATCCATTGCATGGAGTAAGTAATTATCTTTGATATAACGAAACATATATGTTAAAAAATAAATCGTGAAGCATTCTTAGTGTTTTTATGAAAAATAGCATGCTCCGTCACTGCGGACAAATCTTTCGATACCAGCCTGTGATTATCGCATATGATGCTTCAAATTACTCTAACCCGGTTTGGTAAAGTGTCAACTTTGGACACGATTTTGCTGAGCATAAGGTTTGATCCATCAAGAAATTCATCAGCCGTGGCCTGTACCAAATAACGGTATCCTCTTGAATCTAAAACATGATAGTCGGAATCATTAAAATCATCGTAGGTGTATACCAAGCCGTATTTAAGTGAAAGGATGTCAATATCTTCTGCATACTCATAGTCATAATCGTAGTATTGAGCAGCATAATCATAGCTTGAATTTGCATTCCAACCACCCAGTCGAAGTGCGACTTTTTTTGTAATATCAGTCTTGTTGTTTTCAAGCTTCTCTACGCTCAAATCGTATTCAAAATCCCTAGCAGGCAAAAGGCGATCGTAAACCAAATCAAATTCTTCAGTGACGTCATTTCCGTTTGAGTCTCTTGCAGTATAGTCCTCCCAGTCTGTAAAAAATCCACTAAGATTGTACTTTTGAGCGAGATCCCAAACTGAATTTCCTTCAGAGCCGCCCGTTATCCATGTCGCGCCTTGTTCCAAGGTGTATCCATTCCATTTAATGTCTGACATACATGTAGGGATCATTATCTTTTTATTTAAGTAATGCTTTATTCAGATCTACGTTTCAGATTATAAAAATAATTCTTTACGTTTTATGATTCAGAAATGCGTAATCGCAATGTCCGTCCGTAAATGTAAGCTTATTTGTAGAGGTGATTGGTAAGTTTGCGAGCAAAATATACAGTACTGTATCAGCCAATAGTCGGCGTCATCATAAGTACTTGTGTTATATCTTTTTATACTGAATGAACATGGTTTAAATTTGGTTTTGCCATACAGAATTTGTTTGCAATTTGCAGTACAAAAACAATGAGACGATACTCTCTGGCAAAACCAAATTTACAACACGCTCATCCAGTATTACAGTGATTATCATTAGAGTGTGACTGTTGTACGTCTTGAGGGGCAGCCACAGCCAGAGAAACAATTGCCAAGAGCCATACGAATGTGAACATCACGCTGAAACAGTAATAATTATGTAGATACATAATCCCTTTTAGGTTTCAGGTATGGTGTCAATAGGGAGTTTAAGCTTGCATATAAAATCGAAACGCCAACCTAAACGTATGACCAATCGCCCATACAAATGCATCACTTAAATATTTACCGTTCACGTTTTGGTTGTGAAAAACATTGCAAGCTTAAACTCTCTAATGCTGAGTGACATACGTCAATTAGTATGACTTGTACTTGTTTATTGTAATTTGATAGGATATGCAACAACGTTTTATGTAAAGTAAAGTTTTATAACTATTTTATATACTTTCAAAATTACAAAAGCAGCATCTTCGCAAACTATCAGGTTCTAAAAACTGTTTCTACAAATCACTTCTTCTGTAGTTGATCTTCGTTTACGCTTAGAATCTCAACATTTCCATTGGAACAAAAATGAATTGAAATACCTTGCTTGTTCACCTTGACTGCAAATCCAAAAAAACTAATTACGAAACTAGTTGGTGGTTTTAAACTACCTTTCCCACTTAAGGGCAAATATGATAATCATAATATATACACAGGAGTGTATACAGTGGAAATTGCCTAATTACAGTTAATGAATTAAAGTTTAATTAGAAATTACATAACATCGTTGTGCCGACGAAAGGACTATCCTCCATCACTATAAATTACACTTACTATATATTGGCCTATTAATTATTCGTTTTTGTTAAATTATTAATACCCATATTTAAATACAAGATGTTACTGTAAGAACGACTGTAAAATGCAAAAGCCAAATGTTCAATTACTCATTCAAACATACCAAATTGGTCTCAGCCAATCAGGTTAGAGCATTTCAATGATCAATTCCTGGGGGTAAATTTATCAGTATATGAACAAAAAATGATTTTACAGTGCCTTTGATTTTTCATATTGTACTTACGGATGTGCTATTTAGATTATCCCGAGTTAATTTAATACTACGGGGGACCAGTGACCATGCCATATTAGGGAATATACAAATGTGAAGCTTGTGAAAATCATATCTAACTTAACTGCACTTGTCACAGTCTGTAAATGACATTCTACGAGGGTTGATCCAAAAGTTCCGAACCGTTTGCTCTAAAAATCGTAATACTTGATGAAAATTGTTCATATTTGGCCACAACCACCCCACATATAGTAGTTTCATTTTGTGTAAAAATAAGCAATAAATTTGACCAGCAACATAGGTATCTGGTTACCATAGTAACATGACAACAGGGTGAGTGGAGCAAGAGTACGACATATTTTTAATTTTACAGGTAGAAAAAAGTTGATTCTAAAAGAGTGTTACAGGGTACTAAATTTCAAATGAGTCAGTCATGCCTGCCTATTAACCAATCATTTTTTCAATTTGTCCATATTTCATTGTAAGGATTTGATTTAATTTCGCAAAATAGTCTCTCATCCCCTCATATACACTTTGTATATCTGCTGGCCCTTTGATCAAACACATCTTTAAATTCACCATCACCTGTCTCAGAAAGCCACTTAAGAACAGCAAGGCAGACTTCATTTAATGTTCAAAAGCTTGTCTTGTCTTGTAATTTGTACTTCAGGTCACTATAAAGATAAACGTCAGAGGGAGGCAGATATAGTGAGAAGGATGCAAGGGTAAGCCAAGGCATGTGCATATTTTCATTGACGTTTGAGTAAGTATTGAGGTATGGAATTGCGCATTGTCGAAATCGGACTGGATTTTATGCTTTAATTTGACTGCTTTTGGCGCAAGGCATTCTTCTGGTCAATGACATCACAGTTGCCAACTATAGCTTGTATGATATCAGATCACACATATAGCATGGGTCTAATGAAAGAATTATTGATTAAAGCATGACTAACAAATTTGAAATACATTTGGTACCCTGTATACACCCTTCAAGTGTCAACTTTTTTCCAACTCTACAATGTGTCGTTCTCTTGCTCCATGTACCCTGTTGTCATGTTGCTATGGTAACCAGATACCTATGTTACTTGTCAAATTAATTGTTTATTTTTACACAAAATGGAACTATAATATATGGGGTGGCTGAGGCCAAATATGAACAATATTCATAAAATATTAAGATTTTTAGAGCAAACGGTTCGGAACTTTTGGATCAACCCTCGTAAGTGACTCAGTTGCAAACATGTTTGTTGAATTATTTGTTAAAATAAGTAACAACCTAGATTTATTAAAGTGACCACTTTTGGTGGTAACATAAAAAGCCATGTTTTGAAAGTTATTTTCGAAGTACATAAAAAACAAAAAAGAGTTGTTATTTTTTGAATTTATATCTGGATTTATTACATGTGCTTTTTTGCTGGCATATTATTTTGGAAATTTAAATCTAAATTCAGTTCCCCCGGTATGTCGCAACCTTGATGAACTTGTGAAAATCACAAACTTAAAATATGCTTCAACATGTAGTCAAAAAGAGACCTAAGGTTGTCAAACTTTTTACGGGGAGTGTATGTCTAAATCATGGAGAAATGGGACACAGCAATTGTAAAAGACACCTGTTATTAATCAGCAACCATGCTCCATGCACTGGACTACATTAGTTGCAGTCTCAATACCAGAAAAATACGCCCCGTGTGTATAGCCATAAAAACGGGCACTCGTGTGCTCCCCAGAAAAATGCAAATTTCTAATCGGTGACTTCATAACATCATGGTCACCAAGGCTAAATGCCATTGGCCAGCTACTATATGCACCCATTGTCGTAGGATTGTCTGTCCAGCTACTGATCAGTACAGATTCTGGGTCTGGAATACCAGCGCCATACATCGACCTTAGAACGCCCATGTTTTCAGCTATGATTTCTTCCTCTGTAAGGGAAGCTACACGCCTTGCTTCATTTCCAGTGAGGGTGGACACGATAATGTTGGAACCTAAACATTACATGTTGAAACATTAAATGTGTCAAATACCATGCGTTTTGTTTAAATCACGACGTGGTAAACCGATCACTCGTGGTAAACCAAGAGTTGATCTTTAAAGAACATTGATTGATGGAACAAAAAATATATTGCCTTGTTCCATAAGTGCTGCACTGTATGGAGGCAAAAATGAGAATGTTGCAATAAAAGTATGATTCAGATAATTACCTGGATATATTTTGGTAAGGTTGTAGTTTTCCCAGATGACATAATATCCTGGTCTTTTTGGCGGATTGATAATGAACTCATTTTCATCCCAAAAAGCATGAGGAAATTTCAGAACAGTTCTTGTGTAGGGGGACATTTTGAAAGAATTTATGGCTTCCTTCTTTTCAAATGATAGAGGTGGGTCAAACGCAATCAGCTCATTTTGTAGAACACCAATACTAAATGTCATTATCGCATACGACGCTTCAAGGATTTCTCCCGACTGAAGAGTTACTCTGACTCGGTTTGGCAAAGTCTCAACTTTTGACACAGTTTTGTTAAGCATGAGGTTTGTACCATTTAGGAATTCATCGGCCGTTGCCTGTACCAAATGACGATATCCCCTGGAATCCACCACATGATAGTCGCCTTCTTTGTAGTCCTTAAAGGTGAACAACAAGCCGTATTTCAGAGAGAGGATGTCAATATCTTCTGCATATTCCCAGTCATAATCGTAGTATTGAGCAGCATAATCATACTTCGATTTCGCATCCCAACCACCCAGTCGAAGTGCAACATCTTTAGTAATATCACTACCGTCGTTTTCAAGCTTCTCTATGTTTAAGTCGTATTCAAAATCCTGAGCAGGCATCAATCGGTCGTAAACCAAATCATATTCTTAAGTGACGTCATTTCCGTTCGCGTCTCGTGCAATATAGTCTTCGTAATCTGTTATAAATCCACTTAAATTATACTTTTGAGCAAGATCCCACATAGGATTTCCATCTAAGCCATGTATCCATGCCGCACCCTGTTCCAAGGTGTATCCATTCCATTTAATGTCTGAAATTCTGCCTCCAAGCCTCGGTTGAGCCTCTATTATAATGTAATCCGTGATACCAGCTTCATTGAGTGTCTTTGCCGCCATAACGCCAGCCATACCACCTCCCAATATGAGGACTGAAGCCGTACCTATAAGGTAGTTATAGGATATAACACACATATATATTTGTGGCATAATTGAATGATTTGCACATATGAGTAAAATGAACATCAAACTTCTGATGTGAGCTGGCTATTGACATTGGTCGATCGAGTACATAGGAAATGTTACCATTTTAATAAAATCCAATCCCAAAAATATTTTATGGGAGTTTCAATAGATTTTCGATTGAAGAAGATTTGAAACATGTCCTATTGTGAAAAAGGAGATTCACTAGCTGAAGTGACACATGTTCTTTTACAATATTAAATGTTAGGATTAAAGTGATACGCTCTACTTGTTACGCGGTAAACACGATACAAATATATATCATATTCCGCAACGAGTATGACATATTCACTTGCGGTATATGGCATACTTACCAGCCAATGAGAACCGCCTGTGAGTATGTCATATTCACCCGTATTACAAATACTGCGCAACCATGAATATATGCCATATTCCGCGTAACACAACTTACGTGTGGTTGTCTCTGTGCATGCTTGGGCATTATTAAACTGCTTTTGAACAAACGCCGCCTTGCAAGTACATTTTTCTCCATCTCCATTATCTCTGCACTCAGCATTTGGATCGCTGCACGTATAGCCAGGTTTGCAAGCCTCTCCCAAATCAAGTTCTAGTCAATAACAGATTTGAATAAGATTTCATTGCGTAACTTGAATTGAGTAGCAGAAGTGTGGTAAATTGATTGACTATTTCCAGACATCCACCTGCACTCTTGATCGTTGATTTTACTGACTGGTGTGAAAGACTTATGGTATGCTTTTGATATATCTACATTTTCTAGATAAAATATCGTCATGGAATTTAAGATCCGAGATCTGAGAATATGTACCCAACTTTACCTGTACTGCAGTTTGGTAATGTACATGTTTTGTGTTCCACCGCAGATCCCGGGCACTCATTTCCTCCATGTTCTGGCGAAGGATTATTGCAGGATCTAGTTCTATTCCTCACTCCGCCATCTCCACACGTTTTATTACAATCACCCCAGCCGCTCCACTGGCCCCAATTACCATTAACTACAGTCGAAAAAAATGAAACATTAATTAATCCATTACATCTCGTTAATTAATTGAAGAACAGTACCCTATAACCATGGACTTTAAGAAACTTAATCTTCAGGTTCGTGCTGTAACCAATCTAGCCAAAATAATTGTTCTTAGGATATGGGGCCATCCTTAATTGAAATCGCCAGTTCAACATGAACTATTATTGTAGTCAGTGACCAGTCAGTGATCGAGGGCGAGATGTTTTAACAGAGAAACAATAAAAATGGATTCATATCCGATACTTGAACGCGAAATAGGAGTTTTCAAGTTCATCACATCATTTTGTCAAATTGTTTTGGATTTATTACATCAACAATGTTTGGACGGCTTCCAAAAACATATGAATGTACATGTAGATTTGCAATACCTGGACATGGGTTTTCCTGGCACACTTTTGTTTCCTCCCAATTGCCAGAACAATCATCTGATGCCAGGATACACGGTCGTGTCCTTGTCTTGAGCCCATTGCCACATGATACGGAACATGACGAAAATCTACTCCATTGTCCATGCCCGCCATCTATAATACAATATAAATACTAAAATAAGGAGGGCAACGATTTCTGGACCGCAATCGAAGATGGCCGAAGATCTAACCCGAATATGTCAAGGAATTTGATCGGTTCCTTGAAGCATCTTCGGCAAACTTCGTGATATAAACATCTTCGGCCAACTTCGTGATATAAACATCTTCGGCCAACTTCGTGATATAAACATCTTCGACCAACTTCGGCATTTGTTACCGATTATTTGGACTCGCAAAAACACTATTTGAACATTTTTGAATTAAAATTAAAAATATTTTGACTCACATAATTTTTCCGCTGTAGTTATCTCCTCTTGTGACCAACCTAAAATTTATAAATTTCAAATGTTTATTGTTTATGTTTGTTTAATCTTTATTTTCTCCAAAATAATGGAGAAATGAAAAGAGGATTTCTATCCTGTTTAATTATGCCTATCAAGTGCTCAGAATGGTTAAAAATTGCTTAATTTTGGAAAAATAATTTCATTATCAAAAATTGTGAAGAATGGATTACTTCGATGTATTTTTACTTGAGCTTACCTCCAGTCGACACATTGTTCTCCTGTACTAAAATACGCCAAACTGTAAAGTAAAAGGTATTTTACTCATATATGTTATTAGAAGTATCGGGGCTTTGATACAAGATGACCTCATACTAATATGTTTCATACAGTAAAAGCTGAACACCTTGCTAGAATCTATCAATGAACACTTAATCTGGTTGAAGAATCTTGAAATGTGAACACCTTTGTCAGTAAACAGCCTTTGATGTTCAAATTGGAAGATTTTTTACTGTACATGATTTTTTTTATGATTTTCGAGCATTTGTATTTATGGACAAAATCAACATTTAGACATTGACGGACTTTAATATGCTATCGAATTAAAATGTCCGGTTGCCATAATTGCGGAGGGGAGTGTATATGTTTCATTATGTGAAATGTGCTTAAATTATCTTGCAGGACCTTCGCATAAAAAAGCATTGATGGTATGAAGTCAGGTATATTTGGCATGATCATGATAAAAAAAAAAACTGTTTGCTTACGAACTACGGCAAACGCTGCAAGTGCAGCTATGAGCAGTGCAACTGTAACGACGAGGCATGCTGTTAAACATGTATTTTTCCAAGGGGTCTTTCTTTCTTTTGTAGTGTCTTTTTCTTCCTGGAAATTGTCGGGCACGTCGATTGTGCTTGAAGCCTAAAATAAATACAAAGTCATTAAAATCATCAAAAATTAAATGGATCTGCTTTATCGTTACTCCAATGCATCACTTTTGTTCTTTCCACTGGATTATCTTACAATTAAAACACATCCTATAGGATTTAGTATTGGTTTCAACGTTGCATTCAATCAAGATGATCATTTGATTTAAAGGAACTTATTTAAAAAGGAATTTGCATTGCAGTATCTTCGATACTATTAAACATAACATCTCAAAATGTATCTTGCTGTGGATCTTATATTCCTTGTCTTTTTTTGAATTTTTTTGATAAAGTTCTCTTTGGTAATAACAATTTCAACACATTTGATTTTCAGATCTTAGACTGTTCCCAATATTTTGGACAGAGTTGGACAAAGTTACGACTCGCAACCTAGCACTTTAGTAGAGGATCAGAGATAACCCAACTTTTACTTGTGCATGTATATGAACATTTAACTCTACTATGACCAGGGTCAACCCCAGGGGCGGATCTGGGAACCAACAAGGGGGGGGGGGCCCAAATTTCAGGTCAGAGAAAAAAACGTCCGCGCTTGCGCGGAAAAGATTTTGGGCCCCTAAAACGCAAAAGTGGGCCCAAATTTTGAAATTTTGAGGCCCATTTTCTTCAAAATTTGGCCTGAATTTAAAAATAAGACCTTAAAAGGCCCAGTAATGACCAAAAAGGCCGACTTTTTGGGGCCTTAAGGCCTTTTTTGGCCCAAAATTTTTTTTGGGCCCAATTTTTTTTTCTGGGCCCACCCAAGGGGGGGGGCGGGCCCCCAGGCCCCCCCCCCCTAATCCGCCAGTGAACCCTATGTGTAGAGTGAACCCTCTGACCTTGATCATAATAGTGTAGTTGTTAATATTCTTGTACAGTCCTACTCATCTATAATGCCTTCGGACGACGGAGATTTATTTAAGATTTTTTATAATGAAACAAATATATCTTAATAAAAAAAACATACTAAAAATAAATGCACTGCATTTGATGTGATGTGATGACATAAACACAAATTTGCTGTAATGGGAATTATCAAATGTCGAATACATGCTTAGTAGCGCTAGCCCGTAACACGTTTCTGGTTAATGATTTCAAAACAATATCGAAACCTCAAATCATGAAAGCAATTAATAACTTAATATCAGAAGTCAGTTGATTGTTGCAAAAATCCTACATAGAAAATAGTCCAGTATAGTCTCCTAGCGCGTTAATACTTCCTGATACAACTTACTTGCTGTGGTTCTCCGTTCGGATCCTCTTGTTCATAGCCGGCGTTTTCCATTTTGTATAGTCTTAATTAATGTTGTTCAAAAGGAAATATATACATACACGCATGTACACATTTATATACGCTTCACGATACACTAAATTTAACAAATTAAATGCGCTTATAGCCAAAAAGTCCAATGCACTCTGTTTATACCATCACCAACTATTACGTAACATATACGGCATCCACTGTTCTCTTTTGTTATTTCACAAATTTTCGAAAATTGAAATATTTCCCCGTTTACGGTTTATAATTATAGTCCACAAAATTTTAAATTGTAAATATTTTCGCTGATAATTCTTATATTTTCCAGCAAATCCACAGAACTGTATTACAGCATAATCTAAATAAAGCATATACTTTATATTTAATGTATATTTAACGAATGTAGAGTAAATAAAATAAAGCATATACTTTATATTTAATGTATATTTAACGAATGTAGTGTACTAGGTAGAATAACACGCTTTTAAAGAAAATATTGGGCTAATTATTAGGGGACGTGAATACGTTTCAATTAATACAAAAAACAACGACTTGTGATTACACCCAAACATTTAATAGGTTACAAACATTACATATTGGTATCAAACATTGCACTTATAAACAACAAACATTAAAATAATAACTTACAAACTTATTAATTATAATTATATTACACCATATCAAAACTTTTTTATTGGTCATTATTTTAAAAGCTTGCTTCGATATTTCAGGGTGAAACCTACCTCCGACTACCCCTTTAAGCCCCATCCCTCAAAGTCAATACAAGCACAACACTAGGCCAATATTTATATCTTACCTCATATATTTTTGTTTTCTTTGTTTGATTCAATCATAGACTTTAATAACAAATAATATTCAATTAATTGGTTTTATGTGTGTTTTATGGGAGTTTTTTATTTAAAAGGTAACCCTACATTTGTGTTATGATTAGATGTAAACAAACTTTGGTTTCTAGGAAGAAAAAATGTAGGTCAATGCATATGTGCAGAAGTTTGTCATGTGTCACGTGTCATTTTCCATTAATTTTCATTCAAGCTAGAAGGACAGTGAAAATCTGATTGAATTTTGTAAGCACTTGCCCGCGGGTCGTTTCGGTAACAAAAGGTACGATTTTTTTTCCCATACTTCACGCGCTATAGGCAGAATCCCAATGACATTTTTCTCATGAACGTGTATCAGTATCTTATGTTTTAGAAAATGTACATGTTTGCGAAAAAATAGCTCAGAAGGCAACAGAATCGTCGATTTAATTCCTCACTTAAGTTACATAAACGATATAGGTTAAAAGTGCAGATCTGTCATCAAGATCATCAAGCGGGGTCGAGAAACATCGATATTGACAGCTTAAAAAATATTGAAACATTGAAAATTTAGGGATTGCGGGAGCTTTCATTTTAATTTCAACACAGATTAAATTTTTCTGGAATTGCTAAAAAGCGCTCGAATTAAACGAGAAACATATCAGGTATTCCTTGTATTTGTTTCGGATAATGAGCAATAAAACGGCGATGATACGATGGTCGATTATTGAGTGAATATTTCGTTTTATAATTGACAGCAATTCACCATGAACTGATCTCAGTATGTGTATATGAAATATTAAAAAATAAGCGATAAATGTATAGTAAACAGAATGATAAAATTAATAAGTTAATAAAATCATCGTGCATTGAATTATATAAATGATATATCGTCTAACTGCAACACGATTTACCAAGCATCATGAAATCATGATGGATCTGTCCACAATTGTAGCCACACGTCATGTCCCATAGGTCCGGTACCATAACCATCGATGGTATAAAAGCACATCCAGTTAACAATTCCATGTCTATCTTTCAAGTGAAAAAAATCGACATCAACATGAGAAGCTTCGTCGTCTTTGCCGCTTTAGCAATAACAGGTGAGTCTAAATAATATGTAAAGGAGTGGTATCGATATGGAGGACTGAATTCAACAATGTTTTTCTCTTAAATCAATCATTGAAAACATTCTGTAAAAAAACACGGTATTTTATGTAATGTTAACTGATTGATAACAATTTAATGCGAAAATTATTTAGAAATATTTTATATAACTGTTTTTGTAAACATTTTTTTGTTTTTTTAGTGCAATTGTTTTTGCCCCGTTCTACCAATTATTGAGAATGAAATAAAATGTCTTTCCGAACCTTGTTGGAACCTTGTTGGATAAAAATCAAGATAAACCTTTTATTTCGTTAACAAGATACTTTTTTAAAATCAACCAAAATTTCCTTTGTACAATTACATTAATGAGAGACCTAAGCATGTTGTGTTTATTTCGTTTTGTTCCAATGAGGTTAGAAAATATGTTTCATTTCACTCTGGAAACATGATACCAAGAACAAAACAAGTGTTTGATGTGTTTTCTAATTTATATAGATGAAAGTTTATATATATATTTTCAAATTATATTGTTACCATTCAAAAGATGACCATTAAATTGACGATGTGTTAAATTTTTAGATTTTTTTCCAAATGACTTGACGACAGGGGATGACATCTTCCCTTGACGCTTTTAAGTTTATGATATAAAATGAGTTCAAAGTTAGGTTTCTCTTCAAGCAGTGTTTTCGTTTTTCTGACTAGCTTTATATAATCGGTTGCAAAATGGTTCAAATGTGTGTATTTTTGTAAAAAGGGGTGTTCGGACAAACATGTGAAGAGGAATGTGAGGCGACTTGTGAACAGAAATGTGCTAAGGAATGCCAACCGTCGAAAAACACTCGCACTACCACTGGAAGACCATGCAAATTCTCCATAAATTGCCAGCATGAATATTGGTGTAATCAGGGAACATGTGAACGTATGATAGAAGTAGGAGAACCCTGTAAGAAGAATGATGAATGTAAAGGTCTCTCCAAATGTGTGCCCTTTGGAAACGGTGAATAGGAACATTTTATTAACATGCTAGATGCAGCATATACATGCTACTTTATTTATCATTTAGCTTGATTGTTTATTAAGAGAATTCAAAAAAGGTAAAACGCTACAACCAAAATAAAATATGAAAGATGTCAAAATCAAAATAGCATTAATAAGATAAAAAGCTTATTTTTTAAAGTAAAATTTGATTTTATAACTCTTTTATTGATATAATTTCCAATCATAAAACTACACCAGATTATTTTTAATGAATATTCGTAGGAATATGTGAGGAGACATGCAGAGTTGACAATGACTGCCTACAATACGAGAATGGCAAAAACAAGTACTGTTCTGTTGGAGGCACTGCGGGAACACAGAAAGGCAAATGTGAGTTGAAACACGGGCCTGACACTCGTTGTGGAAGGAGCCCCGAATGCCAAGGGAATATGTTCTGCAGAAATGGACAATGCCAAGGTATAATGCAAGCAAATGTGATATCGAACTATATACTTGAAATAATCAGTTCTATGCCAAGATAAAATAGGAATTATGATCGGAAAACAAAAACAAAACACGGGTATATGAATCATCTGAACTCACACAAATAAACCATTTTAACAAATATGTAATATTTCAATGATTATAATACCATGTTTAAGACTTATAGATGTATATTCGTCTTTTAGTTGCTGTGGAAGTGGTTATATGTAGTCTGAACTGCCACGGACAAGACCCAAGGAAACCTGATCACATCAGACCAGGACATATTGTGAACATCACCTACTCCTGTACATTTATCCGAAGGGCGGAGATGGGACACAAGAAGTTGAAGGCCGAGATAAAGTATGTTATTAAGATTGACCTTTCTCGTGCAAGTCAGTAATAGTACTTTAACCAAGGTCTTATGGAGGGGAATGGAGTCTGACCTTTTATTTCACTCCATATGAATGGTCTAAGATAAAGAGTTTTGATTCCTGTTTTGTTTTGAGGAAGGTAAAATCTGTTTGAATAATCCGATTTTCTTCATTCAGGTTAGACAACACGAAGCGACTTGGCATAGTAAAAGGTGAATCACCACAATACTTCAGTGGCTTTGTCACCAAGAAAGCAAGGAAAGGAGAGTTCACTGCAAGTTTGAAAGCTGTAATGACACCGTGCGTTAGCAACAAAGACAGCTGCGCGGCTAACAGAAAATGCATATTGAATGCTGGACAATAAAATAAACAACATCCAGAATATTCAGTTATCATAATGATCATCTTTTATCACTTCATGAACTTTTCCCAATAATTCATTTACGACTTGAATGTACATTTATTTGAAAAGAATAAAAAATAAATTGAAAACTTTAAAATTTGAATCTGATGCTTGATTATCGTATTATACCTTAGATGCTAAAACGCTTGTTGCTCATGATCAGTGATGATATAGATATGGTAGGATACGCCAATTTTAGTCGAAAGGTGCTAAGAATGGTGAAAAACTACATAATTTGGAAATAACTTTTGGTTAGGGGCGCGGGGGGGGGGGGGGGGGGGTCGACCACCCCCTGACCATGTGCCTGAAGGTATTTTGGTATATTGACTCGAACAATAGTGGTGGGTCATAGTGGTCATTTCCGCCCTGGTCCAACGAATGGGTTTAAATTCTTTTCAAATTGATTTCTGGTTACTATGGCAACCATTTGTTATTAATAAATATTTTTTATTTTTAATATTTTTGCTGGATTACAACATTCTATGTTGCACATTTTGTGAAAATCTCATAAGAATATATTGAACAATAAAGAATTTAGAGAGATATTATGAGAACTTTATCATCACCCCTCGTACATGTCTGGGACTGATAATAGCGCCATATTCTTACATTGTAGAAATTTAAAAGACTGTTTTCCTGAGATTGTTGAAAACTCCATCGACTTTTGCACAAAATTGAAAGTTCAATCGTGTCGTTGTTTTTTTTAGTATTACATTTGATTGTTGAAAATTACTGAACACGATTTGACTCTTGTGTGTTTAGTGGGAAATATACCATGAAACCATTGACATGATAAAACAATACCAAAACCAACCAAATATACCATGCATATGAAACCATAGACATGATGAAATAGAATGCCAAAACTAACCATTGCAACCTATGAATGATATGTCGGATGAATACAATACTTTAGCAACATGAAAGCATGATGGATCTCTCCAGTTATAACCATATTTCATGTTACATTGGTCTGGTACCACAAAATGAACAATATGAATATATGAACAATACAGTGTTAGACGCTAATTCAATCATTATGTGTCTTTCAGTGAACTCTTTTGAATAAAATTATTTTCATTTAGTTATTTTAAAATTTTTGTTTATCTTAAAATTTTGTAACCAACGGAGCAATAAATTTATAAACTGAAACCTGCCAACGAAAAAGGGCCTAAAACATCGAAATGATTCGAACTCTTTTACCAGGACCCAATGGCATCAGATAAGGGTAGTGTTTTGTATACCCTGTGACATTGTTCCTAAGTGATAAATTCACAATTATTGGGGTATAAAGTTTAGGGAAATGATGCATACATGTACATATCGGACGGGCATCAAATCATTTTAAAATGTCCGGAACATGCATTTTGACTCTTTATTTTCTATTTTGATCCCATGAATAGAATTACCGCAGGATGACAATGAAATTTTGCCGGAAAACTCGGGAAATGATGGCTTTTGACATGCACATTTGAAGAAGCTGATGTTAAGGGTCTCAAAGATGCATGTCGGGTGTCAACGTACGGTCCATTTTTAATGCCCACACGGTATATATTGATCTTGATCTTAGTTGACCTTTCCATAGCCTTTATAGTGCTTCTGCAATTTTACTGTCTAATTATTAATCGTTATTGCCAATTAGAAATTGACTTTCATTGTCTTGAGGTAGTATCCATATTGCGAAGACGATGCCGTGTGTAAATTCGGTACAATTGATATTGCTTATCATTTGAACAGAAGCAGAAGTACTAAAGAGTGCAAATGTAAAAGACACCAGGCATTCATCAGCAACCATATTCAATACATTGGACTACTTGAGTTGCAGTTTCAACACCGGAGAAATACCCCGCGTGTGTACAGCCATTGTAACGGGCATTATTGTGCTCCCCAGCAAAATGCAAATTTCTAATTGGTGACCTCATAACATCATGGTCATCAGAGTTGAATCCTATTGGCCAGCTACTATATGCACCCATTGTCGTAGGATTATCTTCCCAGCTGCTGATCAATGCAGATTCTGGGTCTGGAATACCAGCGCCGTACATCGACCGTAGAACGCCCATGTTTTCAGCGACGATTTCTGCTTCTGTAAGGAGAGCTACACGTCTCACCTCATCCCCAGTAAGTGTGGACATAATAATGTTCGAACCTGAAACATTAAATGTGTAAACATCAAATGTGTCATTAAGAAGATTGTGCATTTTATTTGTATCACGACGTTGCTATGTAGAATTACTATTCATTGAAATAAAAAAATTATAAAAAAAAATTATAAAAAGGCATATAAAATGGGGTTGTATTTTTAATAAGAGAGAGATGTAGGCCTACACTTTTCATTTTTTTGATAATTCAAGTGATAATTCAATTGATGTCGATCTTTAAAGCACATTCATTGATGGAAGACATATATCTAAAAAAATAATTTTCCGAAGTACTTCTACATTCATGCCCCCTACCATAATTGGATCCTCCTAAGCAGGTGTCGAGAATCCATACCTCTTGCATAATTGTTGTTCTATAGAGGCATCAAATTTGAATGTTTTGACAATCACATTTCATTGAAAGTATGATTCAGAAAATTACCTGGATATATTTTGGCATGGTTATAGTTTTCCCAGATGACGTAATGTCCTGGTGTTTCAGGCGTATGAACTATGAACTCATTCTCATCCCAAAAGGCATAGGGAAATTTCAGAACAGTTCTCTTGTAGGGAGACAGTTGGAATGAATGTATGGCCTCATTCTTTTTAGATGACAGGGGTGGCTCAAACGTGATTAGCTCATTTTGTAATACACCAATACTAAATGTCATTATCGCATAGGATGCTTCAAGTTTTTCTCCCGACTGAAGTGTTACTCTTACCCGGTTTGGTAAAGTGTCAACTTTGGACACAGTTTTGTTAAGCATGAGATTAGTTCCATTGAGGAATTCATCGGCCGTTGCCTGTACCAAATGACGATATCCCCTGGAATCCAGAACATGATAATCGCCATCCCCGAAGTCCTCGTAGGTGTTCAATAAGTTGTATCTTAGAGAAAGTATGTCGATATCTTCTGCATAATCATAATCATAATCGTAGTATTGAGCAGCATAATCATAGCTTGATTTTGCACTCCAACCACCCAGTCGAAGTGCAACTTTTTTAGTAATATCACTACTGTTGTTTTCAAGCTTATCTATGGTCAAATCGTATTCAAACTCCTGAGCAGGCAAAAGGCGTTCATAAGCCAAATCAAATTCTTCAGTGACGTCATTTCCGTTTGCGTCTCGTGCAATATAGTCTTCGTAATCTGTTATAAATCCACTTAGATTATACTTTTGAGCAAGATCCCACATAGGATTTCCATCTAAGCCATGTATCCATGTCGCGCCCTGTTCCAAGGTGTATCCATTCCATTTAATATCTGAAATTCTGCCTCCAAGCCTTGGTTGAGCCTCTATTATAATGTAATCCGTGATACCAGCTTCGTGGAGTGTTTTTGCCGCCATAACACCAGCCATACCACCTCCCAATATGAGGACTGAAGCCGTGCCTATAATAAGAGATATGAAGCCAAGGGAATATTTTTTCACCACACGCATATACCACAACACAGCGGCATTATCGCATGGAATGACGCTATTGTGTCGTTCAGATATGATATACGTCGTACATCTCCTTTATGCTTTTATATGTAGCTCCTCTGAGTGAAAGATGGAGGAAGTAAAAATATCTGAAACAGTCATCTAAATTTTGTATCTAAATTATGCTTTACTTACGTGTAGTTGTTTCTGTGCATGCTTGTACATTATTAAACTGCTTTTGAACAAACGTCACTTTACAGGTACATTTTTCTCCATCACCGTCATCTCTGCACTCAGCATTTGGATCACCACACGTATAGCCAGGTTTGCAAGCCTCTCCCAAATCAAGTTCTAGTCAAAAACATAGATTTGCATAAAATTGTATTGTGTAACTTAATGAGTGCTTTGACTGATAGATCAAATTGAGATGTTTGGTAAATTGATTAACTATATTCCGTAAATTCACAGGATACCTGCACATATTGAATCTATTAACTGGTGTAGAAATCTCAACACCTTCAAACTATGCCTCAAATGGTATGCTTTTGATATATTTATATCTCCACATAAAATGTTTTCATGGAATTTCAAACCATCAAGATCTGACATAAACATTCATTGAGAATATAAACACTATTTTACCTGTACTGCAGTTTGGTAATGTGCATGTTTTGTGTTCCAACACAGACCTTGGCAAAGACGTAGACTGAGAATATATACACAAAATTACCTGTACTGCAGTTTGGTAATGTGCATGTTTTGTGTTCCAACACAGACCTTGGCAAAGACGTAGACTGAGAATATATACACAAAATTACCTGTACAGCAGTTTGGTAATGTGCATGTTTTGTGTTCCAACACAGACCTTGGCAAAAACGTAGACAGAGAATATATACGCAAAATTACCTGTACTGCAGTTTGGTAATGTGCATGTTTTGTGTTCCACCCCAGAGCCCGGGCATGCATCGCCCCCGTGTTCCGGTGAGGGATCACTGCAGGATCTACTTCTATTTCTCACTCCGCCATCTCCACACGTTTTATTACACTCACCCCAGTCGCCCCATTCTCCCCAATTACCGTTAACTGCAGTCAAAAGAAATAAACCCTCTATTCATACATGTCGTTAGTTGAAAGATAGAACCCTGCCGAACACAACCAATTTAACCAAATGTCAGATAATGTATGCCATGGTATGATGCTACCCTTTGCCAGTGAGTCGAGATGTAATACATGATTTCATGAGTCTTGATTTTTGGGTCAAAATATTATTACTTTATTAATGCCGGTTTAGCAAAAGTGTATGCAATGTCGTTTCTGTGGTTGGGATTATTAACTAAACGGGATTTTCCTGTCCAACTAGTCCGTGAGTCCAAGTTCGTGAATAAATCCGTATTTACGATCAGTGGGAGTAAAATAAATAAGTATTTTTCGTAAACCAAAAGTATGAAGAAGGGAGCTTACCTCCTGTTGACGTATTGTTTTCCTGCTCTACAAGACGCCAAACTGGAAAGTAAAAAAGGATTTTGTATTTATACGTTTTGTAAGACGCATTGGGGCTTGTAATAATATAAGATTAATACACACTGACATGCTTTTTATACTTTCCAATAAAAACTACTGTTGCCAAATTTATTATGGAGAGTGTATATTGTATGTCATATCATGTGAATGACCGTCGAATATAGTTCATGGCGTGAAGCCATGTATATTTGACATAATGGGGAGATAAATGTATGCTTACGAACTACGCCAAACGCTGCAAGTGCAGCTATAAGCAGTGCAACTGTAACAACGAGGCATGCTGTTAAGCATGTATTTTTCCAAGGGGCCGTTTTTTCTTTTGTAGTGTCTTTTTCAAAATCTTCCTGGGAATTGTAGGGCACGTTGATTGTACTTGAAGCCTAAAATAAATACAAAGTCATTAAAATCATCATTAATAAGAGGGTTTTCCCAAAATGTCTACTCTATTTTACTCTATTTCAATTTATATTTCACTTGGATAATCTTGCAATTTGTGTAACTATTGATACATATCAAAAGTAATCGATGACCCAAAATTTTGAATTTAGGGTCTCATCCTATAGGATTTAGTACTTACAGCTGTATTTGATTCAACATTATATTAAATCAAGGTTTTTACTAGTATTGAGTCTAGCTAAAAGACCTTGTGACACAATTGCCAATTCAATTGTGTAGATAGTCCAGGGTCTTGAAGCAAGACTGGTTTTTATTTTATATTTAAGGAACACATTTGAAGGCACAAATCGTTAAATTGCTGGAAGTAATCTTGTCAGTATTAGCAAAGCAAAAGATGCAAACATGAGCGTTGTCATCAGTTTTTCTTCATTCCGACTTTTGCATTTTTGAGTGGTCTTACAAGTCAGTCAATATGACATATATATATGCAGTAACATTATAAGTAATGCAGCAGGATCTCATCGTGGTATAATGATAATTTAGTTAATCAGACCTAAGAGATATTGAAAAGGCCATGGACCAATCAACATACTTTTTCAAAAATGTCGACCTAATTTTCACTAAAAATGCAACCTGTTATGTATATTGTTGAATGCATGATTAGAATGTGCTTTGAGACGTGTTCGATTTCCTAAAAGGAAAAGTTGATTGCTCCAGGGACTTTAAAGGTATTGAATTTGGATGACCAAAATGAACTGAAACCAATGGATAGCATGAGATTTTTCAATGGAGAAATACCATGTGCAACACTTATCTTAAAGCAATTAAGTTTTTCTTTCAAGAACTATTTGATACATCAAAATAAAGAGTAGTATTGCATTAAACATTGTAACATTATATTAAATCAAGGTTTTTACTAGTTTTTACTAGTATTGAGTCTAGCTAAAAGACCTTGTGACACAATTGCCAATTCAAAAATCGGCAACTCCACGGAGTAGCAAATCAGAAAAATCAGTTTATTGTCAGACTTACTCACTTCGAGAGCCATGTAAGATTAGAATATTTAAGCGTAGTTTCCTATTGCTTTTAACTTACTTGCTGTGCTTCTCCGTTCGGATGCTCTAGTTCATAGCCGGTGTTTTCCATTATGTATCGTCTGTATTATGTTGTCCAAATTAAAACATGTATATGGATACGCCTGTACACATTTATACTTGTAAGTCACCCGATAATACACTTAATTCAACAAAACAGTCTAGGTCATACCGTTGGGCTATTTTCATTATATCTCCTGACCTTAACTCGAATGGATTCATATAGGTTCTTTCAGTCCATTACAATGTTTTATTTTCGTCAATAAAACTTAAAAATGAGAAATCAAAAGACCACGGCGCTGTTATATATTGGGAATATATTTGTGATATACATGAATTAATATCGGCAAAGAACTTCACAATACAGAACGTTTACAATTTATTGACAATTCATTGTATTGAATTCAAAAACAGTGAAATCTCAATTAGTGCAAAAATAGGTATACTGAAAAATGTCATCCTTGGTCCAAGGGTATTTCACTTCTCTCCTGAATTTAAGCATAAAAGAAGTCCTTTAAAGAAGGATGAAAAATTTGCATTATAACATTTTATCATAATTATATGAACAACGGGGTAAACACGATACATGCAAATATATGTCATATTCTGCAACGAATATGCCATATTCAATTGCGGTGTATGACAGAATACCCTGCGTATATGGCATACGGAAGTACACAATTGTCAATTACATCGATTGAACGAACGGGCAAAAGTTTATAAATTATTATAAAGATTACTGAATCAGTGCAGGTCAGTACATTGAATGTATCAACGAATACGATCAAATAACATACACAAGTGGTACCTGTATTGTTTGATGTCGTTTTATGTATGTGTTTACACGCAAATACACATTTCAAGGGAAACATTAAATTACGCATAAATAAACGAACCTACGTTCGCAGAGCTTATGAGTGACTTTTTAATCGAATCAACAGTTGACAAAGACCAGCTAAAAACTTACAAAACCACGAGTATTTATCCCAACGAAGGAAGTTCGTTAGGGATATAGTGAAGCCCTCCGTCCGTCCGTCCGCCCGTCAGTCCGTCAGTACGTTCGTTCGTCCATACGATAACTCTAAAACTATTTGATGGATTTTCTTCATATTTGGTGGAAAGATGAACAGGGTGATCATAAAATAAGATCAAAATTCAAAGTGCTCTAATTTTTGTAAATGTCAATGAATCTAGCTCATTTTCTCACAGAACATTGATCTACTAATTATACGTACATAACATAAATTGTAATATGTTACATTTAATATTGTGCGTTCTATGGTAACCATGGCAACCCGTGTCGAGGATACTCGGAGCAGTCAAAAAAGAAAGAAAATATTGCGAAGTTTTCTTTCCTATGGTTTTATACAAACAAATTTTGTTACATTCAATGCATTTTTGTTCATCATTATTTTCTCAGATGTTCATTCCAGATGTTCTATGCCATTATGTTCAACACATTTTTAAGGACGTTTAATCAAGTTGGGAACCAAGTCCATGAACACTTATTTGAAGCCACCTTCACTAATGACATGCACCCCGTCGAATACCACCTTTTTCAGATCCTTGTCTGTCATGGGAAATTCTCCCCATAGTTCTTATTTTAAGTCCCCATAAAGTCTCTGTGAGCCATGTCTAGTGAGTAAGGGCCATACCCAGTTGTTCAAACCCATAGCTTTCCATTTGCTTGTGTGTTAGACTTGTTCTAAGGCAAGATACATTATCCCAATGCAGGATGAAGTGATCTACCAACTTTGGTCTTTTCTTGAAGTGATCTACCAACTTTGGTCTGTTCTTGCGAGTGGCATTCAAACATTTATTCATAGACTGGATTAAACGTCACAAAAGTGTGTTGAATATGATAGCAAATTTAAAGAACACATAAAATGAACATCTGAGAAAATAATGATATAAAAGAATGCGTTGAATGTAACAAAATATAGTGGTATTCCCAACGTATAAAACCATTAAGAAAGAAAACATCACACCATTTTCTTTCTCTTTTGACTGCTTCGGGTACCCTCGACATGATTGCCAAGGTTACCATAGAACGCACAATATTAAATGTAACATGTTGACATTTATTTTATGTATGTATAATTAGTAGATCAACATTCTGTGAGAAAATGAGCCAAATTCAATAATATTTTCAAAACAAAAGTCAGACCACTTTTGATCTTACTTTATGATCACCCTGTAAAAACAGAAATTTACGTTAATTTTGAAATGTTTTTTTAAGTATAGGTTTATTATACTCAAATGAAAGGCAATTTAGAGCAGATTGAAAATATTGTATCGTTTTTCTGATTCGGGCCACGTAAATTCAAAATGGCCACCTAATGTGGGATTTCGCAATAATTTTCTGATCTCTTAGAAGTATGGCTATATTATACTCAAATTGAAGGAAGTTTAGAGTAGATCACAATTGTGGTATTGTTGTTCTGATTTGTGCCTCAGAAAATTCAAAATGGCTGCATGGAGCAGGAATTTGCCATTACTCAGTCAAGCCAAGTAACTACTTCAACATTCGAAAATAAAAATCTCAAAAATCGCACATCTTTGATTTCCAAAATAATTTGTGAGGTTGTTTTTAAGATGATAATACATTTTTTAACGTATTAATTTTGAGTACATCTCGAATCCATTCTCAACAAAGCGTTCTCGAAATAAGTATTCGAATTGTATGAGTTCGGAATGATAAAAGTACGTTAAGATATACCGCTCCTTAACAATCCCTTTGGGAACAAGATATAGAATCAAATGCATATTCTTCTTATTTACTCCCTGACACATGCCAATCAAAGTTACAATTGTAAATATCTCTGTTCTAAATGATTTTGAAAACGTTGTTCTCTACAGGTGCCATTTTTTATAATTGAAAAACAAAATTGAACATTTTGCATTTCTAAATTGATAAGTTTCTTGGAATACGATTTAACTGTAAACGATTTAAGTCATTAATGATTTCTCTTAGTGATCCCATGCTAAATAGATAGTAACCGGGTCAATGTTTTGTATTCAACCTTGTTTTCAAGACTTTTAAACATGAGTCGACGATTATGTAGGAAATTTCATCTCCAAATGAAAGCGTGTCAACTCGTGTTTTGCACAATATTCAGCCTTTTATAAAGATAGATCGCCCAAATCTGCATGTAGCTCTCAATAAGCCGACATGGTTTTAAATTTAAAGATATAAGCAATAAACTCAAACAAAAATTCAAACCACCCGCTATAATTTTGATTACACAAGACGAAATTTCCACTCCCGAGGAGCACTTTGGTAACAATTTGAAGGAGGATTCTGGAAAAATCGTTCGAATTTTCACAAAAGGTTTCACGTAATTTTATTGCTTTGTTTAAGCCTCGACTTATATCATACTCAAATCTGATACCATAATTATGAATTAAAATGAAACATTAACCTCACCAGGTTATATGATAAACCGTTTCGAGAATTGATGGTTTGAGTTAACTATGGATATTTATAAAAATGTAAGTCGGCATGTATTCAGCAGTTAATGTACACACATGATGTATGCATAAACGTGTGACTTAAATATCAATTCGTGACTATCACATTTGACTTCCAAAAATTAAGTTGAAAGTTACAGTGGTAGGAGATTAACGAAAACGTCAATCACATCCAAATATCCGAACGACGTCAAGTATTAACAATACACTTTTCGTGCATCTCGAACAAGGCAAGGTTCTGTGATCCAGCAATGTGCATTCCAAAAGAAAAAATTCACAAATATGAACAAATTTTATTGTGTAGGATATTACATTTGAAATCACAAGTTTCAAATTATTTGTTTTAGCCAAGAATTGTAAGAACATGTTGTTAGTTTTTTAAACCGCATATCCTCATTTACCTTCTTTGACAAGGATGAATCCATTTGAAAACATGGATTTTTCTTGATTATTCTTCAATACTACCCTTGAAATATAAGTATGTAGGATATTACAGTGTAAATTGACACGCATTTGTTTGCTCCTTATCATGAACAAATAAATGCGGTACCATCTTGCAATATTTAAAAACAGAAAGTTCATCCTGTATGTAAACAAGAAAAAATACATCGATGGTTGGTTCATAATGAAAAATGACAAATAACATACATCTTTTGAAGTAGGGGTATACAGGGACACAGTGGAAAATCAGAAATTTAGGTCATATCCCAAAGATTGCTTCACCAATATGTAACAGAACATCAAAATTATCATTTACACGTTTGCTGATAGGTTTATTGAAAATAATCAACCAGAAGTTTACTTCAATTGTGGCACCATTTTTAGTGAGTACTGATGAACATACGATTATCGAATGTTGACCAAGTTACTTGGCTTGACCGTACTTAGAGATATCTTTAAGTATGGTCACATGATAATACAATGATCTCAAGTGTTTATTGAAGGGAAGAGTAGATGGAAAATATAACAATGTGACTGTACATATTCATGATTTATATAATGTTCGTTGGGATTTGCTACTCCGTGGAGTTGCCGATTTCTAGTAATGTATTGTTGTATTGGCGATCATCATTTACACAGTTCTGATACTTTCAGAAGTATTATTCAGCAACTACACGTAATGAATTTACTCAATCAATCCAGGAATCATATATGAGTACTCGAAGCGCCAACAATATTCAAGTAATCCAGCGTAGTTTTACATTTAGAATAGATTCTTTTGACCAATCATATCGAGGCTTTCTGTATTGCGTTTACACCTGCGGTATATGGCATATTCCACAGGCGAGTATGATATATTCCGCAGGTTAGTATCACTGAATCCAATGTATTGCATATTCACTGCGGAATATGCCATTCTCACTTACGGAATATGCTATATACCGCAGGCAAGTATGGCATATTCACCCGTATCACCAATACCGCACAACCATGAATTTATGCCATATTCCGCGTAAAAATATGTTTGACTGTCTACATATTTTGAAAACTGGTATTCAAAGATACATACAGCTTACCACTCATCGTTAGATAAAAAGTATTTGCAGCAAATCTGTAGAGTGATCAGACTATGTCACTTACACATTCCACAAAAATACGTTGGCTTAAAAAACAATATTTTGTCACAGTTTCTCTTTGAGGATCTCTTTGTGATGTCAGGATCTTGAAGAAGTCTTAAAGATTTGTATTACAATATCATGCACTGTCTTCTCTGGTACGATCTCAATTGTTCTTAATGTGGAAATAATACTTTGTCACTGTTTATGTGGTGAAATATTGAACGCCATCCTTTGCAAAACACAACAAGGTCCTTTCAAAAAGCTCAAAATTATCCATCACTTATTTTTGCTGAATTTGGTGTATGCATGTACCATGTTTTTATTGGGTACATATGTTTGGTTAAGACAAATATGAATATTGATATTGAATAATGATATAAGTTGTTTCACTCATGTATAATAATTTGATATTTGGTTTGTTGACTTTATTTGAAGATTTTAAATGATTGATTTGATTTCTTTAGGTCAAATGTAAAAGGCAAAAACAGGACAATGTTGAGCTAGCAGGTGTACTCGAAAACTGCAACTCCACGGTTTAGCAAATCCCAAAGAAGTGAATGTTCATGAATCTGTATATGTTTGATATAATATTTGCTACTCTATCTTTAATCTGCAGAAAATAAATTTCCACAAATAGCAATTGAGTCACAATTTAATACAGGTGTATAAAAACACAATACAATATGTTTGATACAGTATAACCGAACCATTTGAAGGGATTTCTAAAGTATTGTGAATTCCAACTGAAGGCTGTGATTTTAAATTTTTCTAAGGTAAGAATCAAAAAACATACATTAATGTGATTTACTCTAAAATTACTTCAGTTTGAATAGAAAAACGATACAATAACTTCATTTGATGGAGCATACACGGCGCGGTATCCAAACTGCGTGCATAATATGAACGCAGTTTGATACACTGAAAAACTTCGCGCATATCAACATTGCATCATACAAGTTGGAGTCTGTGTTTTCAAACGTCATTTTAAAACATTTGTTCTGCATTGATTTACAGTTTCATACGTCCATTCGGTGGCGAATATATGATTCTACCATGTGACAGCGAAAAATATGTCCAGATGAACGTAGGTTTTGAAATATAAGCAGATTAATAAAAAAAGGTTTTTCGATTACCGACACATGATAAGTTGATGTCGCACTTTTCTCAGAAATACAAAATGCTGGATTTTTATTTTTATTAATGTCATATCTACCCATTTTCTTAACAAGCATACACATCTTTTTTCTTCCATCGAACATTCTTTCCACACATGAAGAACCACGAAACTTCCTTCATTATTGAGAGTTATTCCAAAAATGGTTGGTGTTATTTTTGGGTTACCCTGTATTATGGTTTGGGTATATAAAAAGAATTAACCTAACTATCGTCGGAACATATTCATTTATACGCATTTGTTAGTACTGGAGATATGACTGAAATGAATAAGGATGTAAGGTCATTTTCACAGATTTTGCAGCTATGTCCATTCCCAAATCCCATCTCAGTACTCAGTATTCATTGTTACTAGTAAGTAATATTACAAAACATTAATCTCAATTTATAACTTTCGAAATATATTTTAGGTACTCTAATTTGTACATTTAAATTCCAAATCGGTGCGTTTTCTAGGAACAAAGTTAATCGTGTAAACAACTGTTTGGCGAAATAGAAATGCCAACAGTCTATTTGCGAATAATCTTCATGGTAAATATAGGGAAAGAGTACCAATAATTGTCCCTCCCTGCCACCAGATTACCAGGCCATTTATACCAGGCTATACATTGTGCAAAACGTGGACACACAGGATGACGGTTGTACACGCCAAATAGGTTGGAAAAATGACAGCTGTTGTACCACCAAGCACCTGTATATGTAGCAGCACAATTACCAAACGGCCATGCATCATTATCTTGATCGTGAGTTGAAAACCTCATGTTGTTATGACCTGACATGCTATCCCCTGCCGTTCCACTGTAGCCCCCAATAGTGAGCCGATATTTATCACTCCCATCAGCGACTCTAAAGGTTGTATATTCAGCATACTTATGTGTCTTCGTAAACCATGCTATCAAATCAATACGAAGTTTGTAGTTTCCTTGTTTCAATAAACTAACAATATTATCGAGACCCACGAAATGCTCAGCCTTTGCATTCCCAAAGCCATTTTTATACTCAGCCCAGTTACGGAAGAAATTGACAGTCCCGTCAAAGCGCTGGGAAAAGTAGGTCCAACCCATCTCACAGTACGCATTAAAGCTTCTCCCGTCTTTTGTTTTGATCGTTCGGGCCCCAATGTATGAAGGGTCTGCACCGCAATCTTGTATAACGGCTGTAAACAAGGTATTATCAATATTAAATGGATTTGATATGCAAATTATTTCCACTTGCTTTATTGAGGTTCATGAAAGTTCATTTAAAAGACGATGGTGACGTTTTTTGATCAGCACGATCGATAAGAATTGATTCACAGTATAGTTTCTTTAGAATAACATAATATCCTTTCTTTAGATCCATACCCGAAATATGCATATAATATAATTATTCAATGACTGGATTTAAATACAGATGTTCTCGCACGGGAAAGTATGTATCACGAGGCGCAAATAATAATCTCGGTAGTTTATGGCTAATCATACAAACACGATATATGTGAAAATAAAAAAACGCCAAAAATGTCCAACATTTTCAAAGCGGCGGCCATCTTGAATTTTTTTGCGTAAGAATATTCCATCACATATGAGGGACGGGCTGACGTACACGTTCCTACTATAGCTATAGAGGAGCATTTAACGATTAAGGTGATGATTCACACATTCGTTTATCATGGTATATCAGTCATTCCACATATAAGCAGACATTCGTGTCGCCAAGGGTTTTTTCTCAAGCGGTAATAGATATATATATAGAAACTTTTTAAGAACATCTACTTAGGACCAATACCCACTTGTACAACCACCATACAGCAAATTTTAATTGTTTGGTAGTAAGTGAGAATTTTTTCTAACTTAATTTGATGACAAATTCCTCAGGTACGTTATGTCGCCAGAGTGCATAGTGATGTTTTATAAGCATAACTGAAGTAGTTATAGATTTCAGAACACATCCAAACTTCCTGAAAAGATACCTGTGGGTATATACTTTATTTTACCAACTTTTCGAGTAATTTAATCCTTTCCAACCTAATAATCAGATGCCCTGAACCTATGTCGCCAGTTTTTTTTCTAAAATACCACTTTAGATATTTCAATTTCTAGAGAATGCACGAATTACTTAAATGTTTAACCCAGAGTGATATTTTATCAGAAAATGATTTATCAAAATGCATGCAAAGTTTAAAAACTGTATTCTATCCAGAACAAAAGTTATAGTTCATAAAGGTGTCATTTTTCAATTCAAAAGATAAGGATTTTAAGGTACGTTGCAACATTTCCCAACATTTTGTAATATCTTGATGGAATTAGCAAATAAATTCTTGAATATGACAAGGCGGACATTCAATACAATGTGCTCATTACCTTTGTTCGCTCTGTTATATTGCTTTATTGGAACATGTAATGAGTTTTCCTCATGTACGTTGCAATAAGGTACGTTACGGAAAGTGCGAAATAAGTTGTTAACTCAGCAATAAATGCTACTAACTCAAGTGGAGGAGGTCATCACGTGATCTCATGATACGCCATACTTTATTTGCAGTCTAAGGAATAGGGATTTCTTCCTAATAATCCCTAAATAATTGCCTAAACAAAGCTGGTTAATCAAAGATCTAGGATATCCCGATTCGGTTGAAAGATATTCTAAATAAACAACTTAATTGGTCATTGTTAAAACATGATGTCAAATTTTTTCCCAAATCACATACGACTTGAGTTTTATATCAATTAAGGTACGTTGCTTTTGATAACGTCACTTAATACTTGTTTTATTTCTGTCTTAACAGTGGTAACTAACCCGGGAATTCACAATTTGTTGCAGAATATGGCCAAGACTAAAGCAGAAATTCAAAAGAATTATACAGGGCGTATCAAAAAAACGCAACAAGTTGTTATCTCGTAAAATCACAAAACTAGTAATGACTAAATCAATTTCATTTAATGTACCATAAAGCCATGTCTCTCCTCTTTGCAATGATATGTCATTCATTCACATGTGGTAATGGTTGGGTGAGAAATCCTTCCATTTACACAGTGGGTCAAAATCGGCTCTGCGCCAAGTTTTAGATATTGAAAAAATCAGTGCAAGGGCTAAGTGCCAATGGAAGTTCCCCTGACTTTAATTGTTGTGACTTTTTCTTTTGGAGCTATCTCAGGAGCATCTGTGCTCACAATTCCTCCACCAGATATTGCAAAACCTCGAGAAAGATTTGCCCATGGGCTACTTTTCTTTGCTTTAACCCACACATGATTTAGGGCTGAACCATGCATGACGTGGACAGATGAGCGCATCTTTATGTGCAAGGAAGTGGTGGCAATTTGAAGGGGTATAGGATGTATTCTTGCAAGAGTATGAGTATGAACACTTTACTGTCTATGCCATACCTTTCACACCTTCTTCCAATAGCCCCTATGCCCCTTGTACTGACTTTTGAAATGTTTTAAACTTGGGTCCGTGCTGAATTTTGCCCCACTTTGCAAAATTAATGATTATTCGGACAAAGATGACTCCCTGTGAATGAATGATATTTCATTGCAAAGAGGAGTAATTTGGCTTTTTGGTAAATTGAATTAAAAGGATGCAGTCAGCATTGGTTTTATGTTTTCGTCCAATATTGCATCCGGCTCCGTACACTGACTTTTGCAATGTTTATAACTTGGCCCGAAGCTAATTCTGGCCCACTTTTCAAATGGAATGATTACTCACCCGACCATGACCAAATATCAATGAATGATATATCATTGTAAAGAGGAGACACGTGGCTTTATGGTGCATTGAATGAAATCAATGCTGTTATCACTGGTTTTGTGTTTTTCCAAGATAACAATCTGTTGCGTTTTTTGATACGCATTGTAGAGAAAGAAAGGAATTGAGGGACAAAAATACCTTGAAAAGGAATGTATCAGAAGAAGACGATACTACATGGAATTGATCTTGCAAAAGTGGAGCACATCTAGTGAAAACGTTGGCTAAAGCCTTATTCCGGCGAAGTAAACATTTGACATTTGTAAAGGAACGAAATGTCTTAGCTTTAAGCGACGTTCCCTTTCATTTGCCTCTGCTATTATATATGAAGCATTTTATGTTTTGTTGTTTAAGAAGTTGTTTTTGTTTGTAGTTGGTCATATCACGAGTTTATATTCTTCTAAATAAATAAATAAATGATATTGATCGAGTTAAAATGTTTTCATAATGATATTAAGATACGTTATTATTTTCAAATTAATTTTTTATCTCTATTAAAAGATATAAAATGGTTTATGGTGACAATACAATGGACAGGAGCTTGTGTTTTAAGACTTTGGATATATACGAGAAAGATTCGGTGGATTAACAATTGCGTCAATTTTTACTTTAAGCGACGTTGTTTTGCACTGACAAGTTTAACTTATTTCTGATTATTACTAGATGTCTTTGCCACATACAAATATATGATGATTTGAAAGCGAAATACCATAGTTTCATTGTATGTCCAAAATAACTTTTCACATGTTGTGTTAAACATCATGAGAATACATGACAGTGTTGCGTTTTGTAAAATAATTTTTTTTGAGAAGCAACTGCATTTTAGCATTACAACGTAAATTTATGTTATTTCTTGATTAAAATGATTAGTGATTTCCCAAATACAATTTATAGTTTTGTTCCTTAGTGATCTATAGAATAGAGATTACCAGAGGAAGACATCGCATATCAAGTTAGCTAAAATCTCCATAGAATAAAAGAGGTATCGAGAACGAACCTTAAACTATACGCTTTTTATAATTTTACACCTCTTATTTTCAAAATAGTGTAACTTTTGATATGTAAAAGTTAAAATGCCAAAACTTTGGGATTCAATAGAGGATACATAAAACAAAATCAAAATCTTAAAATGAATGCAATGAAACGAAGTTCATTTTTCAAAAGTTTGGAACCTTAAATGTCTCCTTATATGTGGAATGACCGATTGGGCAAATTTACGATAATTGATATTCTTTTAATTCCATGAATTCTGCTATTCTATCACATCCTGCGCCATGTGTGTTGATATCAACGACATTAAATATGTGCTATCTTGATGTCAACACAACTGTTTACTATGACCATGCACTATATTTTGAAAATATTGCTTATCATTTCTTAAAAAAGCTTTAATGGTGATTTTTTGACAAAAATCAAATTTTGCTATGAAAACTCGGACAACATAACACATATGCATCAAGTCAGTCGATAATTTCTAGCTAATTTATGAAATATGTTTCGAACAAGCTTTCAAAATGTTGTTTGATATTTCATACTCGTTAAAAATAGTAGGTTTTATAATGTCCATATGTTTTGTATCCTCCAACACATGCTCAACGTGTTAAATTTGCTAAAAAGTTAGATATTCTTGGGATTTTATAACAATCATTTAAATACTACATTGGATTAGTCTCATTTCTGAAAGTAATTGTTTAAAATCAAAATATTGGACAGCAAAACCTAAATCCACCACAAAAATAACAATATTTTGTCTGATGTTTTCATTGTCTGGCATATAAGAGATACATATTCTTTATGTAGTTTGAAAAATATCAACGCAATGGATGCTCTCTATGTGCTGTAATTCAGGTTTGTATCACCATAAACAAAACAAAACTTTGTTTTTTGACCAAAAAATCATCATCTAAGCTGTTTTTGAGAAATAATAAGCATTATAATTTCCATGCCGTGATACTGGTTCTCTCATTGGTCAATTAGATACCATGTGACTAAAATTATATAGAGAAATCCCATGTCTACCTGCTTAGAAAACGTGTGAAAAGTGTATTCACCGGCAGTGACGTCATGTTTAGTGAATACCACTATTTATCCCATACTTGGACGTGTTACAGGTACATAAAGCAGCTTTGTAAAAACTTATATTTTCATCAGCGGCAGATATAAGGGTTATGTACTGGGAGGTTTTGGATACAGGGTTTATCCCAAGGGAAATATGCGGTCCCTCGTGAGATACACATATTTCCCGCCGGATAAACACTGTTTCCAAAACCGACCGTACATAACTGGTGTATCTCATACTTGAGTGGGTTTGGGGTAGATATAACCTTTACCACCTTTTTCAAATGACAAGATAGGCCTATACTGTAAAAGCACAATTTATATTTAACATTTTCATAATATTCCTTCAGTTCAATACAATAGAATTGTAACATTTAAACTTTTTGAAAAATTTTAAACTTCTAAAATTTAAATTTTAAAATTTTTTAAACTTTTTTTAACTTTTGAAAAAATTCCCGGGATGGATATATTATATCTGCCCGCATTTGGCCTAGAGCGGGACATATACAATATATCCTGCCCGCTCCTGAGATATGATATATATTTCCGGGTGATATCTACCCCAAACCCACTCAAGTATGAAATACATAAGGGTTATGTACTGGGAGGTTTTGGATACAGGTTTTATCCCAAGGGAAATATGTGTATATCCCGAGGGATATTTTATAATAAAACAATTATTGAATTCGTTTAATATCTGTATAATAATGTTTCTGAGGGATGTATTCACCTCGCTCTTCGGGCTGCGGTGAATACACCTTCAGAAATATATAGGGGTTATGCACTGGGAGGTTTTGGATACAGGGAATATCCCGAGGGATATACAATATATCTTCCCGAGGGACCGAAGGGACCAAGGGAAGATATATTGTATATCCCAAGGGATATTTCCTGTATCCAAACCGACCGTGCATAACTGTTGTATTCCATACCTGATGAGGTTTGAAATAATACGCATGTATCCCATATGCTCTGTTTTTTACTTGCAAAATATCTTATCATTTTCAATAAATTTTCAACTTTTTTTCACATTTTTTGCATACTTTTTTTCAGAATTTTTTTTTCAATTTTTTTTTCAACATTTTTTTCAAAATTGTTTTACATAATTTTTTTCCACAATTTTTTTTCAAATTTTTATTTTCACATTTTTTTCCCTAATTTATTTTCAAATTTTTTTTTTTTTTTGAGCGGGACATACGATTTATATGTCCCGGAGCTCCGTTGGAGCGGGACATACGAAAAATATTTGCCCGGATATGGAATATATTCCCGGTTGATATGTCCCTGAAACCTCATCAGGTATGGAATACATACAGATATTCAACACCACAGAATTCAATATTTGTATAATATTTTCAGTATACATCGCATGATTATGATAACCAGTTGTGACGACATCAAAATAGCACACGTCGTTGCTTTCTTACACACGACGCAGGATTGAGTAGAACAACTGATTTTGAAAAGATCAATTATCGTTAATTTTCCCATATGTACAAACGCCTAAATTCCCATGTACCTAGCTTAAAAATTATAAGAAAAAAATATGTAAACAATATGACAAATATTAATTACAAAGGCAATAAATTCACTCTGAGAATGAACTATCTTAGTGTACTAAGAAATAGAAATTGGCATCATGCTTCTTGAATGGTAATTAGTCAGTCATAACTTATGATTTTGAAGTGACTCACGTAAATCTCTAGTATAGTAACAGTAATGGATGGTATGGTCACGATTACTGGTTCCATGATAAGGTACAAGTCCACCCACACGATTCTTGTTACTGCTATCCTCGCAATCAAATCTGAAATATTCTAATGTAGATTTCATTCCGTTGACCTTCTGACAATAATCCTTTATAGGAAACAAGTAAAACGGTGACGTCATAGGTAGGTCAATTCCATTAGTGGCATGACCGTCATTACGACAACAGTAGAAGATTATAGTGTCGCGTGTCGCTACCATATCGGGCCTATAACCACCATTCATATTCTTGTTATTACTATCTTCGTCATCCCATTTGATCCATCCTTCTTCGAAATCTAAATAAAACAATACACGATCAAGTTAGTATGAGAGCCATAAGATATTTCACTATCATCTGCAAATGATTTTACAAAGAGCTCATCTCATTGTGATAATTTTGTCTTACAATTTGGCCATTATGGAGAATAATTATTTCAAATGCCAGGAAGCTTGTATAAATCATTTTTGATTAGTTATACCATAGATGTTGGCCAGATCGTTTTGCAGTAGGATCTCATAGGCTCAAAGAATAATTCAGAAGATGAGACACCAAATTGGAAAATTTAAAAAAGCTGACCACCTTTCAAAACGTTCCTTATACAAAACGGTACCTGCTTCCCCGTGACAGATTTTGCACTCTTAATTTAGAGCTGAGATCTTCATCTTTCTATTTCTACTTTTAATTACTTTTTATTTCTACAATTAAATAACCTATGGACGCAGTAATTTGACTTTTAATACGGCAAATATTTTTCACTTGATCCGGGCACATTTGTGTCCAAATATCATTGTAATTCTGACATCACATTTCTGGAATCACAGGAGCACTATTCAGATTTGGACAGACAAGAGCCCGGAGATAAAATATCACTGTTTTGGCCTCTTATCAACGCAGTATTGCATGAATTATGTTCATTAGTGATAAAAAAGTTAAAGAATAACAAGACGCTTCGAATGAGGTATGATTTGTCTCATATTTTCGGAAATGGCTGCACAATCGTCATTTTAAAATTTCGAATTTTTTGGTGTCTCATCTGGAGGAATAATCATTGAGTTACTGATCCTACTACAAAAAGAATCTGGCCGGGAGTTATACCCACATCTAGAAATCATGACAAAAGAAATGCATTCCTACCCTCTGGACATTTCTTGGATTTGTATATACAATATTCCCCTTCTGGCCAGTTACTGTAACCAGTGGTATCAGTCTTCGTACAGAAATGTTGGTATATATCGTTCTTCCAGTACGAATTAACTGGGAAATGCAGTGGGTGAGACCACCAGTTGTTAGTTTCAGTGTCATGCTTTCTCCAGCCTGAATGCCAAGTTCCATCATTTGGACAGCCAGTGTTTGTTTTAGGTAGACCATAGGTACCCCGCGGCCAAGCGACAGGTAAACGTATAATACGACCTGAAAATATTTCGGCATGCTGGAAAATACTTTTATTTTTACAAGGGGTTTCATTAACCAAACCCGTCTGACCAAGTAATCTACTCCCGACGTCGTAGATCCAGTATCTACGACAATCCAGAATCAGGGAGTAGACAACTGGGCCAGACGAGTTTGGTTAGGGTTTTAAATCCGCATTCAAGAAAGCTCATTAGATCGCTACAATGTGAGAGGCAGTCTTCAAGAAGGAACTAAGATTTTTCACATGAGATGTCAAAATTAGATTTGATCAATACCTGTTGGCTTTGAGAGCTTTTTCCATATAGGGTATCCCATTAGTGCAGTTTTCATCTTTTCAGCCACCGGAAACATGGATGAAATACCTGGACATTTCATGCCTTCAAAGTAATTATCGGTCAAAACCCCGTGGATGGACGTCAGTCGAAGATGGATTGGTTCTGGATTATCCTTCGTGCCAGATTTTAGAGTCTTTCTGTTGTGGGATTGAGCTTTTCTACTGATCAGACTTGTTCGTATAGATTCCATATCGACTTTTAGACTCCCCGAGTGTAGCTTATATGAGCCCCCAGCAGAAAAACCTCCTCCAACCTGAAAAATATAAATTGCTCTGAAGACGTTTCTTAAAAGCCCAATGCTTTACAGTTTTAGACAATCGAAAAAACCTCCTCCAACCTGAAAATGTAAATTGCTCTGAAGACGTTTCTTAAAAGCCCAATGCTTTACAGTTTTAGACAATCGAAAAGTCAATACAATATTTTTCTACCTCTTTACTGACGTCTTCTAGAAATGATGTCTCACTTTCCTCCGATCTAAGTCAATACAATATTTTTCTACCTCTTTACTGACGTCTTCTAGAAATGATGTCTCACTTTCCTCCGATCTAAGTCAATACAATATTTTTCTACCTCTTTACTGACGTCTTCTAGAAATGATGTCTCACTTTCCTCCGATCTAAGTCAATACAATATTTTTCTACCTCTTTACTGACGTCTTCTAGAAATGATGTCTCACTTTCCTCCGATCTATTTGTTTCCTTACTGCCTAATTTCACCAGATCTATGAAGTCCTAGAAACAATAACGATAATCAAGCGTCACATTGTACTAATAATATATAATATGTTACAAACGCTATACTATATACACTTAACTTACTTTAATTCTGATGAACAAGGAAAATATTTTTTTTACTTTTTGTTTGAATTTAAGTGTAGGTTAGAATTCAACGTGTTTACTGTTTGCTTGTTTGTTAATGTTTTAAGACACCTTTAAGAAATCAATGTCAAACATTCTCGATAGGCCAATTGTGATAATACAAGTGAACTAGAATTATACTGGCATTATTTTTAATTTATCCAAGCCCATCAAGAAACTTTAAATTCTAATTATGATATTTCCATCTGTGTTTTTTTGAAAAATGTAAGTAAAGGGTTCACTTTGTTTTTAATTCGCAGTTGTAAAATTTCTTACAGTTCCCCAGGTATCTATAAACCTCATGAAAGCGTTGGTATCATGAAGGGGCAGTGAACAAATTGCGTCCCTAAAACTTTTAGTGACTTTGAACTTTTCAGAGCGTGCAGATTCTAGCCTGAGTCGTGCAGTACCATACAAACACTCGTTTTTCGACTGGAAAAAGACTTTCTTCTCATCCGAGGTATGTTTCTTCATTTCAGCAAATCCTGAATATAGATGTTGTATATTTGATTGATTTAAGTGATTGTTCCATTGCGTTAGCACAACCAATAATTGTTGTCAATAGGTGTCACTACTATCAGCCTCGTTTTGAAATATAGATTCCATACAGAATATGGAAGTTGTGTTCACTTATTACTTTGGGATATTAATAGACATTTGTATCTATAATTGACATATCCTACAATAGAATTTGGTGTTTTAAAGTGCTTAAAGTAGTATTTTGACGTTAATCGCAAAAAATATTATTATATAAGCGGAGAGTTTGACCGTGTTTCGTTTACTATTCGCGTCATATCAGCTGTTTGCCTAGATACAGTCTGACGTACTGTGTAATATGTAAAATCGTTGCTTCAAATAATATCCTGAAATTTAGATATTTTCAAATGGATCCTTGATGTGTGTCTACAAATGGAGCTATGATTACACTTATTCATTATTAATTATGCATACACTGTAAAAACTAGCAAAACTTCAATATGGGCAATATATTATCTCTTCATCTGCTCTATTTTCTCTTCGGAAATATACTTACTTTGACTGGCCGAAAACGATACCTCAAGAACACCTTTCATGAACCCACCACTGTCTGGAAATGATGAAATACAAATAAGAAATTTTGTATTTAAAAATACCGTACACCCGGTAATTTTGAAAAAGGGTCGATGACAAACATTGACCCGGGTTTACAGAACCAATGCTAAAATAGTCTCGAAACCTGTGCTAAAATAGTCTCGAAACCCCGTGCTAAAATAGTCTCAAAACCAGAGGCCTCATTATCAGTTGGTCGCAAAATATTTGCGATACGTCTGCGTTAATAGGTAGTTTAAGCTTGCAATGTTTTTCATGTTTTGCGATGCATTTGTATGGGCGATTGGTCATACGTATAGGTTGGCGTTTCGATTTTATATGCACGCTTAAACACCCTATTATCAGTAGAGCGCAATGGTAGATGCAAAGCAATCGCAAAGCAATATAAACGCAAAGCAGCAAACTCAAATTTAAATTAAGTGTAATCTGGCGGGAACTACAAATCGACCTTACAACTACGCACTATCACTCATTATAAATGATTGTCCGAGTTTCCAATATCCATATCGTTGGTTCCAAACAAATGCAAGGTGTGTTGATCATTGCCAAAGGAAAAGGACGTCTGTGACAATAAATCCATGCTTACAGACTGCTGAAACGGGTATTTTAAGTAAAAAAAAATCAAAATTTAAATGTTAATTTTTCAAAATCTTTGGTACCAGAGTGCATAGTTTTTTCTCGATTTTATTGTACACTTCTAAAATCATTTTATAATGATAATAATGGACGGATCTTAACAAAGATGCAACGATTTGGAAATCTCTTCATTATTGACATTATTTTTCATTTCCTGGTTTTCAGGTAAATGGTAATGCTTGTTCGTAAATTTCTTCATCGTCGTTCGCAAATCGAGTGCATTATCAGTATGCCCGATGTTGAAAAGAAATTGGAAAATCGAGCCGGCATCTAAGTCAAAACAGTCGGCAGTTTGGAAGTACTTTGGGACTCCGATATCACAAGGTAAACGAATTAGTGATAGTACACCATGCAGACTATGTGAAATGCCGATCACATTCGCGGCAGATGCGTTATATTAGATTTTAATTGATGTTTATTTTATTTCTGAATATGATTTTGAAAAGTGAAACTGCCATCATCAGACACTGCATCATTTTTCTTTAATGTTCTGTCCCGTCCCGAAAGTACCATGTCCCGAGACCATTTGTGCCGTTCCGTACTGTACCGAAATTTTTTTGGACCGTGATACCTCTTCTAAGGGATATACTCTGTATCTATTTTTTTGGGGTTCATATCGTAACCGAAAGGGGTATGTTTTAAAGATTTACTTTCCTGTTATCTCAAAATCCACTTGGAACTTTACCATTGGATTTCTATGGGAAATTCCTCAAAGAGAAAATTGAGAAAACTTAAGTTAACTAGCCAATCTTAGAATGTAGTTCTCGGAATTCCCCTCCCGGGATTCCCTACACTTGTAGAAAATAAAGTCCAAACAAATCGTTGCATAGTTTGAACCAAAGTAGTACAAAGGTTTGAACTAAATGGTTGGAATAGTTGATATTGTGTTGATATTGGATGCAGATGTGACCACATATGTTTCATCATTTAAAGTGTACGTGGCTGTAAGCAATACAGCAGATGCTGAATATTAAGATATTTAGAGTGGATGTACAGGGTGGGCAAAAAACAAATACTCTAGTTCAATGATGAATATCATAGGATGTTAAACCATGTCATGTATTATCAGTATTATACATCATTTTAAAGATAAATAATTTCCTAACAATATAATGCCATCCGACTGAAAACCTTATTTTCTATCTTGTGGAGTCAGAGGCTAAAATTGACACCAGGATAGAAGGATTGAACATTCTCTGTTTTATGGTTTAAACGTTGAGTTCTTTTTTATGTTATTGGCTTTAGTAAATTGTTTAATCTTTCTAACTTGTTTTGATATATAGTATTTTCTTTTTTTTGAAATTTTTTTATGGGGGTTCACTACATTTACTTTGATAATTTCTTATCTTTGTATGACGTGTTGAAATCTTGTTATGATTTTTTGTTATTTTATGTTTTGCCCTATGTCTTTCTATGTTTTTCTGGTTTTATGTCTTCCGACATTATTTCGAATATTTATGAAATTCAAATAAATCAACAGTATATCAGATGTAAAATTAACATTGGAATTTGAGGCACTTCAATCTGAAACTATAATAAACAATTTATACGTAATGATGAGTAAACTTACAGGAAGTTTCAACGCTTTCTTTGAGTCCCCTTTGGTAACTTTCTGAACTATACACGACCGATAAAACTGCTGATTCCGTACACGACTCTCTTGGTCCGTAAAACACCTGGTCTGGCACTTTGTACCTGAAAATTTCATTTTCATGTCATTCAATAATAAGGGTGTTTGTGATAATAAGGACGAACAGTGATCAGTGATCACATGACTTTTTATGATCATAATAAAGCCGCTCGGTTAAATAGTAAAGTTTCTATATAGCTGAATATAAAGTTTACAAAATAGATGTCTCCCGTGTTTGTCTTTGGTTTTTGTTGGGCCAAACTTCCATTGACTTCAATGCTAGAAACTTGCAATAGTCACTTATTCTCATGATTTATCAATAAGTGTTGGACAAATCTGTCTGAAACTCAAATGGCATACTATTGGATGACCCTGTCAATGTACATATTGTGATTAAACATGAAAATAATGTTGGTTACCATACGAATTAACCAAGGTTTTAAAGAATTGTAGCATTGCATCAATGGAGATTTTGGCCCAAGCTTTTTAAATGTCTTGGAAAATGATTTAAATGACATTTACAGTGCTGATATAAATTAATTGATAAGTCGTATAGCTGGCATATTTTCTTGAATTTTAACATTTAATGTCCCAAACTCCCACGAACTGCAGAAAAATACACAGTAAATCATATTTACCAAGATGAGTGTCTCCAAAGCTTCATACCAGCGTATGCATAATGTATTTGTCACGAGTTTGAGCTAAAATGAAGTAAGGGTTATCTCCGCCAGGTTTGTTTATTGTGGTTAGCCTTTATTGGTAAGTGCTCAGAACCAAATAATTCATATGCGCGAAATAATCAAATAATCTGATTGGTCTTTAATGCGCATGCGCACGATGTGTGCTAAGATTTTTTCTAGTGATTTCGTTTCGTTTCATGGAGTTTGTGTTTCAGTGTAACTTCTGCAAAAATGGCGGACCAATGACAGAATTAACAGGTAAAATCACTTCAAATTTAAGAGAACTTTTTACCTATGATTTATTTGTGAATTCTATTTACAGATAAGAGTCTCAGGGGTATGTAGGCAAATCCATTTTGGTAGAAGCACTCTGATAACATTTGGCGAGTCGAAACCTGTAAATGAGAAACTACGGAAAACACGCGAGTGGTCTATTCAAGACGAGGTGTTAGTCGAGGTTGATCAATGTAAACATCTCGGAAACATATACCAAGCTTCGATGAAAAACACTGCTGCAGTCTCCAGCGCGTGTCATAAGTTAAAAGGCAGTTTCGCATCGCTAGCAGGAATTGGTGTACATCCGAAGGGTCTCACCCCTTTAACTGGCATACATCTAATTAAGACCATTTGTATTCCCACTGCTCTTTACGGATGCGAGCTGTGGTTTAATATCACAAAATCGGAAATTTTGAAATTAGAAATTGCTCAACGTTTCATCCTCAAAAGTCTATTTGAATTATTCAAATCTACGAGAACTGATATTGTATACGCTTTAACTGATCTGTTACCAGTCCAGTTCACACTTGACCTACTAAAGCTGTCGTTTCTTGGTCTGCTTTGCAACATGCAACAGCTGACGTTGACAAAGGACATCTTTCTGTTTAGAGCAAATTTGCTTTACGGCGGAAATCACCGGCAGGCAGGATTTGTCGCCGACATTTCAAACATTCTGAAAACCTACGAATTGGAACAATACCTGATTCAATATCTAGATAACGGTTATTTTCCAAATAATATCTTGTGGAAACGCATTTGCAAATATGTAGTCAGACAACGCTTCCTAGTTCAAAGTGAATCTCAACGCAATGACATCAGAATTTCCATTTCTGTTTTGAGAGCCCATAATCTTTGGAACTTAGCCAGAAAACGGAATTATCTACTTCCGTATATTCTCACAGCAGTCAAAGTTTTAGCCATGCCCGTCAATGACTCCAACCTTCTTTGCGATAGATGTGGCAATTTCTATAAGGATGCCATAAATCACATGCTAATCGACTGTAATAAGTACAATCACATGAGGAATAAACTCATTATTGACATTGCGTTACCCAACAACCATCCAGCGTTCGATCCAAGAGAAATTTGTGCTTCTGTATGCGGCCCTGCCTCGGAGTCATTTGAGATACATAACTTAGAGCTCATCCTGAGATACATTCATATAGTGATATCAGACTCAGGGATTAGTCTCGTACCCTTATTTACATAAACTTGCAGAAGATCTAGACCTTGTAATCTGAAATTTTTATATTACTTTTAAAGATTGTAAATATGTTGTGACCTTGTTTATGTTTTATGTTTATTGTATTAATCTAACAATGTAATTAGTTTATATGAAATCCGATTTGAAATCGGGAATAAAAGATACATACATATTGAAAAAATCTCATGAAAAAACGAGAATTTGTGGATTTTAAAGCTACATCTCTATTGGCAAACAGATTGTAGGTCATTGCTACATGGTGTTAAATAGGCACATTTTGAAGGTCAGCGACTGGGTTAAGAGCGTGAGGTGGCCGCTAGGCGCTATTTGCATTCGCGAATATAAGCTAAGCTACCTGTTAAGAGGTCCGTACATGTCCGGAAAGTGTAGTGTATAATCAACACCATATTACTCTTCCCTCTAGAGTTTTTCTCTTCAAACCGTCAACTTGCCCAATTGAGAAAATATTGGAAATAGTTGTAAAAAGGACCTTAAAAGGACCAAGGAATATTTTCTTAAGTCTGATCAGAGCTTGAATCAAATGCTTTTTTAATCAACATTTTTTATTAAAAAAAATCAAGAAATTAATCCTATAGAATCAACTGAAAGATTATAACGCACATAGGGAAATCGCGTTTTTTTCATTTAAAACATTTTTCTCTAAATCATGATATGTTTTTGTATTAAGATGTATCGTAAAATATTTTCCAACAAAATTAGACCGCCGTCACCTAGATCTAAAATAAAGTAACTTACCGTAGGTCACTCGTTAATTTATTTCTCGCATAAGTCAATTGAATGATGCTCCGTGTATCTTGGATGCCAGGATCCACTCCGCCAAACTTCCCGGGATCTCCTTCAGGATTGCCAGTCACCTGGTTGTAACCCTTGCCAAGAAAATGGACTCCTCTTGGTGGAGCTTGGCATACTATGAGTTTTATAAACACCCCGACAAGCAAAATTAGGACACCAAGGCGTGACATCCTTAATAGAAAGTTACAAAATTGTTTAAGTGTTGATCGCATTCAATAAGTCGCAATTACATCTTAACGTATTGAATAGATGAAAATATTAATTGGCCAGAAAGCAGTGAAAATGCCAAAACCCATACTCTCTATACATAAGGGTTATGTACTGGGAGGTTTTGGATATGGGGTTTATCCAGAGGGAGATATGCATATCTCACGAGGGATGAACCCAATATCCAAACCGACCGTACATAACTGCTTTATCCTGTAGGGACCGAAGGTAGATGTGCATATCTCACGAGGGATGAACCCAATATCCAAACCGACCGTACATAACTGCTTTATCCTATACCAAGTAGAGTGTTCAGTGAAAAAAATGTAAAAAAATGAAAAAAAAAATTATTGAAAAAAAATTCTGAAAAAAAATTTGAAAAAAAGATTTTGATTTTTTTTTTTAATTTGTGGAAGCGGGAAGATATGCACCGAAGCGGGAGATATGGCAGGAGATATGGAGGTTCTGGATATGGAAACCTCAAAATCAGGATACGGGATATATCTTACCAACTTATCTCCCTTAAACTCTACTTGGCATAGGATAATAGTAGTTATCAATGTATTAACAATATCGTTGCATAGAAAATACTTTATGAGATGTATTGAGTTGTTGACTAGCCGACTAGCTATAACCTGTAAATAAATTGTACCTGAGAGAAAACATTGAATAACTCTATGAGTAATTAAGGAATGATCAATACAATTATAAAATGTCTCTGGAGGTGATGAAGGAATATTTTTGAAATTCATTCACCCAATTTAGTATAATTTCGGACCTACATGTATTCTATGACATACTATCAAATAGTTTGATATACAGATATAGGTGGTATGATTCTTAAACAAGGCAACTTAATAGCAAGAGTCACTTAATTTCTTGATGATTCAATAAGTAATTCCACTTGAATCAACTTAAAACACCATTGGAATGTAACTACAGAGTGGGCCGAAAAAACAATATCCGAGATTAAAAGTTGGAAGTAGCCTCACCATTGCCTGGTATCTTTACCTCTCTATTGTCCTCATTAAAAACTCAACGAATGTGTCATATCATTGAGTCATCCAAACTCAACGACAGTGACATTGTATAAATCGTTATTCTTGAGTATGGTATGAAATGATATGATATGTTTTACTCTTAAATAATAATAGAAATACAATAAATAAATAATTTTTTTATAGTTTGTATTTCAACTCCAACTATCTTAAGCATTATCCCATTGTCAGGACGTGCTTTTTATATATTCTAAAGGGTAATTCTTTATTTATCATAAAACATAAACATAAATACAATTCATCTGCACATTACACCCTTAGTAGTGGACGTATGTGGAGGCCCAAGTGTACTTGCCTACCTAACCTTGGAACCAGTATTCTGATCTGACCAAAGTATTTAAGGTTTACCCTTTTCCGAATGACCACGAACAGAAACAATTTCGGCCGTTCGTTCTTGTGGTGCATATACATGTATCCATGATACATATTTATTTGTTCATTTATTTACTTATTTATTTATTATGAAGTATTAATTGTGTGTGTTGTTATATATACTGTTTTCTGTTGTATTGATATATTGTAAATTTGGTGTTTACTTTGTGTACACTTAACCCTTTATGGGTATGCATATGTAATAAAGTTCAAATCTATCTATCTAATCTTAATATATTTTATAAATAGATAAACTTTTCTGCTTTGTTAAGTTTCCTTTAAAATTGTCAATGATCAGTTATTCAAAATGAATTTTCTCATTGATTCATAAGAGAATCGCACTTACCTGTTGTTCTGCTTTGAAAAGATGATGTGAATGACGGAAACATCTTATTTTATTCTGTAAAAATAGAATAAATTATTCAAATTAAGGTGGATTAATTTGCTGGCAACATCAACGTGGTGAGAACCACATGGATAGCTAATTAGTAACTATAATCTGTAATTATAATCCTAAATGACGCTAGAAGGTTTCTTATTCACAATTGATATATCTTACTCTACCAATAGACTTTTCTGTCATTATTAAAACTTTAAAAAGGTGTTTATGTCGACTGTAAATTAATTGCCTCAGTTTTGATTTTTTTTCAATTTCGATAAATTTGCTTAATACTAGTGGGTTTGAATTTCTTTTAAGCGTTTATTTTCTTCAGAAAAGAAAGGTTATGTCAGTTACATGCCATTATTCAAAGATTAATTATGATGAGAATCACAGCTATTCTTGCAGTTGAGTTGACAAAGCTAATCATATTTATCATTTCTTTCTCGGGTTCACTTGGGTTTTTGACTCATATATAAGGGAAAAGAATTCTGGTGTAAAATGCGTAGGACACTCAAGCCATGTATTCCTTTCATTATAACGAATTTTATGTTACATGACTATATGTTTTTATTCCGCTATTTAATATACGCTCTACCATGAGTATTTGGTATCAAATTAAACGTCTCTTAATCCTGCAAAATATAATTTAGTTTTTATCTCAGGGTTATAAAAGCTGAACGCATTATCAATCGTCGAACATTCCAAACTATCATTTTTTGCCTTGTAACCGACCACCCTTATGTTGATTGACAGTAACTTTTTTATATTCTGAAACGTATTTTGTTATGACAATTGACAATTTCATCATAAAGACTGCATCGTGTCGATTGTACGTTAGCTGGAATTAATTTATTTGCTAATTTACTATTGGAAAATCGACATTAAGTATGTGTAGCCCTCGAAGGCACCATCATCGACACCATTCTTGAAATCAACGGTGTCGAAAAGTCTCTGCACTATTCGTGATAACCCCCCATTCACTTCATTGAAATATAAATTGCCTTATTAAGGGATGTAAAACATTTTCAAAATACATTTGAATATAACATATTTAGCTTGTTACGTATTTTTCGACGTAAAGTACTATCTTTCCAAATCATCATCGACTCTACAAGTACGTTGTCTTTGCACTCTGCTTTCAATCAAAATCAGGTTTCAATGTTAAGTAATGGTGTTGACGGTTTGTCTCAATATACATTGATAATATAAAAATACGCTTTATTGATGTTATTCTTTGACCACGTAAAGATTGAGATATTTACGACCATCAACGACTCCACCACATACGACTCCAAAATACTATCCACATATTAAGTAGGTCACATGTATAATCGAACGCTATATATTTGTTGAATGAACCTACATTCATTAAATGACTATTTTGTTGTATGTGTAGCATTTTACAGTGATACTGAGCTAAGGATTTAGAGCATATTGTTCATTGTAATTACAACGTATAGTGATAAGTAAAATTGAATCTATTAAGCAGATCATGTTATTTACTTATGATGCATATTCTGTTTGTCTTGAAATGCTATGGTAATGTGACACAAGAATTGGGATGATTGAGCAGTTCATAGTTTTATAAAATCACTGACAAATAAAGATGCATATTTCCCGATATTTCTTAATTTATAAACGTTTCGTTCAGTGTACCACTAGACGAAGTGTATTTCTTGCCATTATTGTAAAACAATAAATATTTCATTGGGATAATCAGATTTGTGACATTTTATTAATGTGCATAACTTCCCACACTCTCATTAATATATCTGTCTTACTTATCAGACCTTTCTGATGATATAAGAATATGGCACTCAGCAACGCCGAGAAGTGTCGTCGTTCCCTACAGACTGTAGTGTTAGTACACTCTGGTACACCTTAATTGTTAAGGTATGAGGTTCCATATCCATCCGCCAAAAGGTATGACCCCTATATAGTCCATTTAAAAACTTGTGGTTTTGTTCTAAATAACGCCATAGTTGGCTTCTAGGGTACCTAGTATGCCACTATTTGGTATCAAAATAAAGAGGAGGAGTTCAACTTTCATTTGAATTACGAAAATAGCGATGTAGGTCAAAAATAGTTCCGACGTGAGCATGTTTATTACGCGTTTGCCCATCATATCAGAATTGAGGAAGTGGTAGCAAACGCGAGTCACAATAAATGGACGCTGATATCTCAAAAAGTAACCTGACTCCCTATAATTTGATGTAGATCAATCGAACCCCTATATGAACAGGTACATTTTGATATATAACACTATGGGCGGTAAGCGTTTTATAGTTGGTCACGAACGCCATATGTGCAAAGTATTGTTATGAATTTTCGAATTTGGTGTTGGATTACGGTACTCATACCTTAATATGAGGCCTAAAATTGTCTGCTAGTTGGCCAGAGACCAATATTCTAGCAGATTTTGAGAACAGAATCGATTTTTTTCGTTCTGCGTAGGGCAAACAATGATTTGAAATCACTTTCAACCATTCTGTGAGTATAAGAATTGTCATAAGAGGCCCGTGGAGGGTCTGGAATGAAAGAAAGCCCTCTGAAATTCCGTCAAAATTGCAGGTTATTTCTTCATTTTTTGCTAAAATTACATGATTTTCAGGGCCCATATCTCAGTGAAATTGCTACAATGTAGCGATTTTTCATTTTTACAGGCTAGATACACGTGTCAGGTCGACAGAAACAGTAAGCATGTGTGATTTTCAAATTGCTACATTGTAGCAATATTTATTTCAAAATACAGGTGTGAGGGAAACTGCAATTTAGTTAGATTTGGGCGAAAATGGCCAAATATCAGTCAAAATCCTCGGGACACAGGCCCTTTGTCTTAGATTTAGTCAATGATGCAACTCTTAGTAGAAGGTGTGCCATATAGGGAATGAAAGCTGTTTGTCAGACGTATCATTTTCTTCAATAAACTCAGAGATAGTCAGGTTAGATTTGTGACGTCACAGTGGCAAAGTTAGACCAGCATATTTAGACGTATTTGGGGTAGGGCAAATTAACCCTTTCTAGCCTAAATGGATAAATTTTTCACATATTCAGCCAGTTCTGACGTTTTTATGCATTTTTGAACTAGAAATGATATTTTCTGCCAAAAAAAGTTGCAGAGACAAAAATCAGTGTGATGTCATAACACATTAAC